CGAGAAGGCGCTGCAAACTTCTTGCGGCTCGACCCGCACCAAGCTTCTGCACCACGTACGTGATCTCTCCGAGCTGGACTTGATGCAGCAGCGGCTCGCGCTGATCGATGACACAACCGCCGGATGTCAGCACGAGTGTCTCTGCAAGATGGCCACTTCTGCTTGCGATCTGTACCGCCACATCCCACCCCGTTTGGGCAGAGCAGAGTTGACCTCCAGCCCAAAGCTGGACCCTGCCAGGCAATGGACGCTCACGGTCTGCTTGGCCTGGTCCGAACCTGCCTCTGTGACCTGCGGGCTCAAGGTCCGCTCCACGGCGCCTCCGGACGCCTGCGGCTCCAACGGACCGCTCGCACTGGTTTTATTCCCAGCCTGCGCGGGACCGGCAGCCATGGCTTCTGTCTCCTTTGCTGCGGATGCTGCAGCCATGGCGCGGTGGATCCAAAGAACTTCCAGCACTCTTTCTCTGGCTGCGAACCGAGAAAACTCTGTATGGCGAACATCTGTGAACAGAAATAGCTCTGTGTGGCGAACATGCACCATGCTGTCAGAGTTTGCGTTTAAGGCTCAATGCTTGGACCATATTCGGAGCTGGACAATCATGACTTCGATCAAACACAACTGGCCCTCAGGACGCTGGGAAGAGTACGGTACTATCGACATGACCGGAGCTGAAATATTTTAGGAGCTCTCCTCATCGCTAGAATGGTAATGGGCCTTGGGATGGCAGCGCCCGCTGCAACGCTTGCACGGCCGCAGCGAAGTTGAATATCCTGAGGGTGCAGGGTGCGCCACAGCGAAGACGCTTTGCAGGTTTCTCTCGGAAACCTTCGGCAAGCATCGTAGCAGCTCGCAGGCTTCCGCCCAAGACCCCAAACTGAACACTCGGAATTTTAGTGGGATCTGCCTGAAGCCCCCGAAGCCCGACAGCCTGAAACCCGATGAAACATGAGTCCCGTCGCGTTCGAAACTGCCTCAACCCTGCGAAAGCCCACGAACCCCCGTACACCTATAAACCCAATACTCTCTAATCGCATCGGGCTTCCTCGACTCACGGGCCCAGGACTTCAGCACCTGAAGCCCCACCAGGCACAGCAAACAACCAACAAACAAATCAAACTCGAAGTCCTCCGAAAGTCTCCAGGCTTTCTCTGGGCTCGAAGGTTGTGCTGTTGGATTCTTGCTGGAGCCTGGGTTCCGAGTTCCGTGGGTAAAAGAAAGGTCCTTCAGGAAAGAGCCTTTGGGGCTTGGGACCACGCCGAAGAGGCGTAACTTTCAAGGTTCAGGGATCAAGGGTTTGGGGCTTCGGGGTTCGCAAGCTTTGGGGTTCATTCAGGGTTTAGGAAGTTTAGAGGGCTCATTTATAGTACGATGAATTTCAATGCAAACACAAAGGCGGTCCACGACCCTAAACCCCAAACGGCCCTGCACCTCAAACCCCGGTTGCGTCGCAACAGAACTGCCGCACCCCGACATCTCACAAGCTTCAAGACGCTGCTCCTCTGACTGCGTAGAAAGTACGGGGCGGGAAACTGCACTTCGGGCTGTGGGCTGAAGGCTTGCGGTTGTGTCGAAGGCTTCGGTTGAAGACGGCAGACTCCTGTTGATACCTATGATACGTAGGCATAGATCTTAAAAGACAAACTCGTCACTACGGCTTGTCTGGAGTGCTGAGAACCCAAACGCTGAGAAACGCTCAACCGAGTGCGAGTCCCGAGGCAGGCAAACACCCCAAGAGGCTGGCCTCTGCGGCATCGTGGTCAGAGCCGCCACTATTCTGCGAAGGCGGCGGGCTAGCCTGCACGGGGTTTGAAGCTTGCAGAAAAAATCAGGGATTTGGGGCTTGTACACGTATAAGTTACGGCGTTTAAAGGATTTTGGGCTTGTATAAGTTACGAAATGCTTGGGGGGTCCTGGGGATCCTGGGGTCCTGATCATGACAAAGCCCCGCATAGGGACAAAACCGAAATTTAAAAACGAAAGCATAAGACAAGAAACACAGCCTCCCATGAAGCAAACCCCAAAAGCCCACAGATTGAGGACTCTTAAACGTTCTTAAACGAAGCCTCCCTTTTTGTTAAGAACCTTGACTGCTTTGTTAAGAAAGCAACCTTCGCCCCCCCCTCCCCCGGGGGCCTGCGCGACCAGCGCAGCACCGGCCTCTGCACGAAGAGGGGAGCGCTTAGGGTTTCGGGGTTTCGGGGTTCAGGGTTTATAGTTTATAGTTTGTGAGGGTGTGGGGTGGTTGGGCGATTCTGTTGGGGAGAGGGTGCAATGCTTTTTTTAAGTGTCTTGGGGTCCAGGGTGGGGGGATCTGAGGAGCTTTGAGGCCCGGGGCCTCAAATTTGGAGCGACCCCCCAAAAGGACAAGGATAGGAATCCCCTCCCGCCTCCAACCCCTCACAATTTGGAGCGGTTCCTGTCAAGGTTTCTTATGAAAGGGGTTTAGGGTTGTGTATGACCTCATACGTGCGGGTACAGCCATTCATCAGGCTGCCCCTACCAACGCGACGCGCTGGCCTTAAAGGCTACCAGCTTCTCACAAGGGTTTAGGGTTCAGGGCCTCTGTGAGTCCGTGAAGGGTAGTTAGAGCTGCGGAGTTTGCAGCTACAGTGTTTGCCTTAACTGTTGAGGCCTAGGGCCTTAAGGGTTTAATACCCTTGAGTGAACGCCCCGACCCTAACCCGAACCCCAAACCTAAACCTTCAAACCCTCGCCTCAAACCCCAACCTCCCCAAATCAGCTTCAAAGGCCTGCGGCTTCCGGAGAACCCTGTCTAAGGGTGTTGGGTTCGGGGTGGTGTAGGGCTTCTGTTTTGGTGGCTTTGAAGGCTTCGGAATCGGAAGTTCACCCGGCACCAGCTTCCGATACAGGGAGATCCCTACATAGAGGCCTTCATGGTTACCGACATGGCTTCTGGGGATACTATAAGTGTGTTGCAATATAAGGGCTACCAGGATTCTGCTATTCAATATGTTGACCCCTGATGTAGACACTGAACAATCAGGCCAGCAGGCGGTGCTGTGCAGATCCTGGAGATCAAAGTAGCAATGGAATCCAGTCTTGTCCTGGAGGTTAAAGGGCATTCGGGTGCATCGCATGGGGAGATAAGGAAGGGCCTTGGTAGTTAAACCTGAGGAATGGTACCACTACGTATTGCGAGCTCTGCAGAAGGGCTCTGAGCTGCGCATCCCTTGCTGCATCTTCAGTTTGTTGCATTCGTGTGATTTGGCTCAGCGCTCCTACTCGCGAGTCCTTGAGGGTTGCCCGACTATGAACTCAAAACCCCCCAGAACCATCACCAAACATCACGAAAATATTGCACCCTTTCGTACCACCTAATAAAAACCTCACAGAACCATTGCGAAAAATGTAACAACCCCGCCGTACAGCTGTTATGAGGACATGTCGCAAACCGTACGACAAACTAAACCCGAACCTTAAACCCTATAGGACCCAAACCCTCAACCCTACATCGCAAACTCTGAACCCGAATGAACCCGAAACCCTGAGCCCTAAGACGAAGACCCTTCAAAAAACTCGAAGCACGAGGCCCGAAGTCTGCACCCGCAACAATCCCCGGAGCTCCTGAGCGCCCCAGCCCCGAAGGCCAAAGTCTGCCACGATCTTCGATGCCAGCTGCGCCTTTTTCTGGGGAGCTCTGCAGAGTTCAGGCTTTGGGGTTGTGGGCTAAGGGTTTGCCTGCTTGGCTAAGTCGGCGTGGAGATCTTTGACAAGGCCTTTTCTCGGGCTGCATAGGCAGCTTTGAAAGACCTTGTCTTGGTGAGTCTTCTTTTGGCTTTTCGCCCTCATACGGGAGGTTCCGAAAACAAGCCCAAAAAAGTACCCTGAGCAGTGAGTGGGATCCTAAAAGTGAGGACCCAATTTCAAAAATGAGGTACCCCCTAATTTTCGGATACTCCCATGGCCCATAAAGATCTACCTACAAAGCCTCAAACCCCAAACAAGAAAAAAAAGTCCTCGAAGCCCCCCCGGGTTTGGTCTTGGATTGCCCGGCGGAGCAGTAACTTTAAGATTCCTTCAGGAACTGCGTGGCTTTACGGTAGTTTTGGGTTAGGCGTTTGGGGTTTTGGGGTTTAGGGTCAACGGTTAAGGCTTCGAGGTTTCGGGCTTTAGATTTAGGGCTCAGGTTTAGGTCAATTTAACTTGGGTTGAGTTGAGGGCTAGAATTTAGAGTTGTGGTGGTTGGGGTTGAGTGCTGAGCGATCTTTTCTACACTCCATGGACTTTCCAGGGCCGAGGGTGGACCAGTTGCGACCATGGCGCAGGGACACGAGTGGGATGCCTCTGCGTCAGCCAAGTGTGACTCCCGCCAGGTGTTGTCCTCGAGCTCCCGGTCAAGGTTCTAGGGTTGGCATTAGGGTTTCAAGTCAGGATTCAACAAATGGGTCACATTCATGCAACAGGTGGTAACAACGAGGTTGCCATACAGTGGCCCTTACGGAAGGTGCCTTACTTCGGCCACTTTAGGGAAGGGAATCCTCGTACACTCGCCAATCCGGCGTCCTGCGTCCTCCTTGCACCAACCTGAAACACCCAAAGCCTCAACGCCTGATGGAACCGTCGAACTGACAAGCTGCAGGCACACGCTCAGTCTTAGAGGTAGGATGATCGTCGATAGGCTGAGATTTTGGGCTTCAGGCCTTCGGGCTGCAAGCGAGGGCTAGGGCTTAAATGTACAAAACGCGTTGCTCCCTATCCAGCCCCTGAAAGGAGGCCGGGCAGCCTCGATCATGCGCGATGCGAGGACGTTGTCGGCAGAAGGACCTCCCGCAAGGCTTTGGGCTTCGCTGGAGTCTCTACGAGGGGTTTAGGGTTGCAGGCGTTGCTGAGCTCCTTTTTCCGCCACCCGTTGGTGGAAACTGTTGGGATGGCAGCAAGGGAAGCAAAAGAACGAAAACTCAATACTGGATACCAACAGGTGCAGAAAAGCACTTCTGCACATGACATCAGCTGCCTGGTGTCTAACACATCATGGCTCACGCGCTACCCATGCAAAACGCACGTGAAGTGAAAGTCTTCAAACTGCTGGGTAGCTGGATGCCCTCCAGGCTCTGGTTAAACTTAGCACCAAACTTCAAACTCTGCAGACTGCTGGGTAGTTGGATGCCTTCCAGGCTTCGGTTGAACTCCTCGCCGAACGTCAAGCTCTGCAGGCTGCTGGGTAGTTGGATGCCATCCAAACTCTTGTTGAACTTGTCGCCAAACGTCAAACTATTCAAGCTGCTGGGTAATTGGATGCCCTCCAGGCTTTGGTTGAACAAGTAACCAAATGTCAAACTCTGCAGGCTGCTGGGTAATTGGATGCCCTTCAAGCTCTGGTTGAAACGGTGGCCAAACGTCAAACTCTGCAGGCTGCTGGGTAGTTGCATGCGCACCAAGCTCCGGTTGAAGTTCCAACCAAATGTCAAACTCTGCAGGCTGCTGGGTAGCTGGATGCCGTCCAGGCTCTGGTTGAACTCATAGCCAAACGTCAAACTCTGCAGGCTGCTGGGTAGTTGGATGCCCTGCAAGCTCTGGTTGAAGTCGTAGCCAAACGTCAAACTCTGCAGGCTGCCGGGTAGTGCGATGCCCTTAAAGCTCTGGTTGAGGTCGTAGCCAAACGTCAAACTCTGCAGGCTGCTGGGTAGTTGGATGCCCTCCAGGCTCTGTTTGAACTTGCCGCCGAACATCAAACTCTGCAGGCTGCGGGGTAGTTGGATGCCTTCTAAGCTCTGGCTGAAATGAAAGCCAAACGTCAAGCTCTGCAGGCTGCTGGGTAGCTGGATGCCCTCCAAACTCTGGTTGAAATCGCTGCCACCAAACGTCAAACTCTGCAGGCTGCTGGGTAGTTGGATGCCCTCCAAACTCTGGTTGAACTTGTCGCCAAACGTCAAACTCTGCAGGCTGCTGGGTAGTTGGATGCCCGCCAGGCTCTGGTTGAACCAGGGGCCAAATGTCAAACTCTGCAGGCTTCTGGGTAGTTGGATGCCCTCCAGGCTCTGGTTGAACTTGCCGCCGAACGTCAAACTCTGCAGGCTGCGGGGTAGTTGGATGCCTCCTAAGCTCTGGTTGAAGTCCCAGCCAAACGTCAAACTCTGCAGGCTGCGGGGTAGTTGGATGCCTTCTAAGATCTGGCTGAAATGAAAGCCAAACGTCAAGCTCTGCAGGCTGCTGGGTAGCTGGATGCCCTCCAAACTCTGGTTGAAATCGCTGCCAAACGTCAAACTCTGCAGGCTGCTGGGTAGTTGGATGCCCTCCAGGCTCTGGTTGAACTTGTCGCCAAACGTCAAACTCTTCAAGCTGCTGGGTAATTGGATGCCCTCCAGGCTTTGGTTGAACAAGTAACCAAATGTCAAACTCTGCAGGCTGCTGGGTAGTTGGATGCCCTCCAGGCTCTGGTTGAACTTGTCGCCGAACGTCAAACTCTGCAGGCTGCTGGGTAGTTGGATGCCCTCCAGGCTCTGGTTAAAGCTTCTGCCAAACGTCAAACTCTGCCGGCTGCTGGGCAGCTGGATGCCCTTCAAGCTCTGGTCGACGTTCCACGTGAATGACACTGTTTCGCGCAGGGCAGCAACATCTGTGTCAGACAGAGTCTTGTTCGTGAGAAGGCGTTGCCAACTCGTCGCGGCTCGACCCGCGCCAAGCCCCTGCACCACGTACGTGATCTCTCCATGCTGGACTTGAGGCAGCAGCCGCTCGCGCTGCTCAATGACACAACCACCGGATGTCAGCACGAGTGTCTCTGCAGGATGGCCACTTCTGCTTGCGATGTGTGCCGCCACATCCCACCCCGTTTGGGCAGAGTTGACCTCCAGCCCAAAGCTGGACCCTGCCAGGCAATGGACACTCACGGTCTGCTCGGCCGTGTCTGGACGACCGGCCTCTGCGGGCTGTGGGACGCTCAAGGTCCGCTCCGCGCCGCCTCCGGACGCATGCGGCTCCAACAGACCGCTTGCATAGGTCTTATTCCCGGCCTGAGCGGGACCGGCAGCCACGGCTTCTGCAGGTCTGCGCTTGAAGACAAGGATGCGCAGCGTCACGCAAGTCTCTGAAGCCACCGCTGGCTCAATCCCCTGCGCGACATAACCCAGACTGCAGTCTGGAAGGGTAATCACCAGACTCGCTCTGCGATGCCCCATCATCTGCTCGAGGGCTTGCCTACCCAGTTCACCAATCGTCTCACACTTGAGATGCAGCCGCTCCAAGTGATTGCACCTCTCCTTGGACAAGTCGGCCGCCAAAGCTATCGCATCTTCGTCCTGCACATTCTCGCACGCGATCTCGACGTTGCAGGCACCGGATTCCACCACGGCCAAATCCGCTTTCCAAGCATTCTCCGGGCTTCCCATGATCACGAGCTCTTTGAGCTTGGTGTAGGAAGGCAAAGCTGCAGCCAGAACGGCGATCTTGTCGTCATCCAGGTTTTCGATGAGGAGATTGGTGGTGGACTCGGCCTTCTGGTGGAAGACCTTCGCCTGGAGCTTGAAGACCTTCTCCGAGTCCTCCCTGTGTGTAAATTTCAGCTGCTGCATCCGTGCACGGAACATGGCTGGTGGGAGCGGCACCGGATTTTCGCCCTTCATCCAACTCCGCAAAGCAGACCACTCCTTCTCGGACCGGCACCAGCCCCGTTCCTCGTAGGGCGTGCCGTTCAACTTGAGCTGAGAGATACACACGTCCATCATCTTCTGCTCCTCCTTCCAGTAAACGAAGATCTTGGATCCGTGCGCTGCCACGCACCTTTCTCGCACGCTCTCCGGAGTCAACGTCTGAATGCGATGAACTTCCATGGCATCGTGGGAGTACATGACAAAAATGTCGCGGAGCGCCCGTCGGAAAAGCATCTCTTGTTCTTCGTTTCTGGTGTATTGGTGCAAGGAAACGAAGTCGTAGAAGATCCAAACTACTGAATCCAGGAGTCGGGGACGGAAGTCCTCAACGATGGCATCCAGCTGGAACCTCGCAAGCAAGGGCAGCAGGACGAGGTGGTGTGACATTGTGTACTCACACTGTGACTTGTAGATCTACTCCTACAACACAGTCCCAGAATTATCATGCCCGAGCCCCGAACCTCCACGGATCCGGATGCTGCATGCTCTCCCACATGTGGCTGATGGAGACGAGGTGGACTTGCACGCGTCTCGGTACTGGGTGCCGGAGCATCACAGACATGTGGGCTGTGTTGGGGTCAATCCTCACTTCTTTGAGCTCGCTGCTCTCTACCAGCGCCGGCGCCCCTGAGCTCGTCTTCTCATTCTCCGCCTCTTGACGGCGCGGCAAAGGCCTGCCGGAGGCAGAGAGCTCGACCAGGTACTCGAGGCGCACCAGGCGGATGCCGGCATCTTCGAGGAAGCCGAGTAGAGCTTCCGGCACAGACAAGTCGTAGCTCGTCTCCTCTGCCGCGGATGATGAAGCCATGGCGTTTGCGGCGGATCTGAAGAACTTACTGGACTGTCTTTCCGGCTGTGATCAGAAACATCTGCGTGAAAAACGTGCCTCATGTCAAAGTCAGGGTGTAAGGCTCAATGCTTGCACCTCCAGAATCGGAGCTGAAGAAACATCACTTCGAACCTAAACTTCTGTAACCCTCAGCCTCAGCCGCGATAGAAAATCAAACACAGCTGGCCCCGGGATGCTCGGAATAACGCAATAGTAGACATGGTAAGAAGAAGCAGTATGTTTTACTTAGGAGGAATTTTCTTAATCGTAGCAAGGATGATGAGGCCTTTGGATGGCAGCGCCCGTTGCAGCGCACGCACGGCCGCAGCGAAGTCGAACATCCTGAGGCCACGCCGTTGGCTGGTTGTGGAGGATCCGGGGAACTCGGAGTGAAAGTTTTGGCTTTAGGCCGCGCAGGCTCTGAACGATTGAAAACGATTCTAGCCTGTTTGAGTATTCGCGCGTAGGCCGAGTAGTAGGAGTTTGAAGCACATCAGGGGCGACGGGAGAAGTCGTCGTGGTGGGACCGATGCCAAACCCCTAGACCCTAAGTGTTCTCTACCATCTGCTTCAGCTTCCTAAGCTCCGGAAGCCCTCAGGTCCTGGATGGAAGACCTAGACGTAAGTGAAATCGGTCTTTAACGGGTTGATTGCTTAAGGCTTGGGTTCAGGGTTTATAGGGGGTTCAGGGCAAGATCTGAGCAGGCCTAGTACTTAAGGGGGTTCTTCCTTTCAGATGGGAGGCTTCATGACCAAAACACGGTGGGTTCGGACTGCTCTATCCCGCGAATCGGACAATGCCCTTTCCGTAAAGGCCCTGATATCAGAATCCATGCCCATCCGTATTCAATTCGGCAGGTTCAGTTGTCAGTGGTCCAAAATATGCCTGACAACTTATAGCCACAACCTTTGCCTTAAAACCCTAAGCTCTAAGCCCTAAATCCCAAACCGTAGTCCGAAACCGGGGGTTCAGGGGTTGATTTTCAGATCTTCGGACTGCACCCGTTTCAGGCCGTGGGCACCTGAACCCCAAAACCGTAAACCCCCAGAACCCCTCCCTCCTTCGATTCGATCTCCGAGTCTCCCGTGGTCAATAAAACGACGATGGCACACGATTCCACAAGTTTATCGAATCCTGGGCCAGGAGGCTTTTCGGCCGTCGGGTTTGGGGTATTCAGGTGCTTGACAGGCTTTGCGGGCTTTTGGAGGGTGGATCAAGGGGGAGGGAGGGGACGAACCCTAAATAACCTTAGGGAGCAAGAAGGAGAAGTGGGGAGCACTCGCTTGTCTACCTTCCTTCGGCCCCTGTCCCTAATTAATGGATCCCATTGCTTGCGCATGTTGTTTTTGAAATTTTGAGATGCTGTAGGGCTTTGCAGCGTCGTGCCCGAGTAGATTCAGGCTTTGGGGTGCTTTGATGATACAAACATCATCTTCCGGTGCGTCTTGGCTTCAGGGCTTTGAGCTTTGCAGCCTTTAGAACAAGGACACTTCGCAGGCGGTCGCAGTTTGGATGGTGCGACAGGGTTGTAATCAATAGCGATGGCTCCGAGAGCGTGGGAACAAGGTCGAAACTTTCAGACGACCGCTTCATAAACGGAGAAAACTTAGGCAGCAAAGACTGCCAGCGCAAGGTGCAGATTCGGCGCGGCCCCGGCGGTCGTGCCTGGAGCCCCAAGCTGTGGGGGTTCAGAGCTTAGGGCCTGCGCAAGCTTCGAGTGCTAGGGCGGGTCCTACGTTTGTGTTTGCGGTAGCCCGAAAGGATTGGCTCGCGGAGCGAAGCAGCAGCGGGTTGAAGGGCGAAGCGCTGAGATTCAGTTCAGGACTTGGGCTTTACGGCTTATGCTTTAGGGTTCAGGATGTAGGCCATATAGGTTTAGGTTTAGGATTTAAACCCTTGGTTTAGGGTTCAGGGCTTAGGAGTTGGGGTTTTGGGGCTTAGAATTCTGGCCTTTTGATAACACATTTTTCTCCTGTTTAAGGCTTAGGCCTTTTTTGCTTGTACTTGTTAAGGCTTACAGGGCTCATGGATGAGAGTGTAAGGGGTGTAGGGTTGAGGGTGCAGGGATGAAGGTGCAAGGTTTAGGGTGCAAGGCTTCATGATGACCTGTTCATTGAGCTCATTGATGCGGCTGATGGGCGGCAAGATCCTGCATGAAGCACTTATGAACCCTCTAAAAGGACCTTTAAAGGGACCCGAGTCTCATGATCAAGGCCCCTCTACTAGCCTCAAGCCCGGCTGGGCCTCCTCCTGCCAGCTGAACGCCACATCCTTCTGGGCTCGTGGTGAAGCGACGCAGCCAGGCCACCTCTTGCGATCTCCGGTCATGCGTTGGAACTTGACACTTCAAGAAGTTTAGTAACTCGGCTTCGAGGCTTTGGCTCGGAGGTTGCGTCCCTCCGGGGTCTTGAGTTATCGGTCCTCAAGGACGACTCACCCGCAAGAGCCATGCTGACAGACTCACCGAAAGCCCCAGAAACTCCTCCCAATACATCAGTGTTCCACCATGGTCTACCACTTTGAGCTATCAATCGTGTGTTAGACTCCAGGGCTCTGAGCTGCGCATCCCTTTCTGCATCTTCAGTTTGTTGCATCCATGTGATTTGGCTCAGCCCTCCTACGACTCGTAAGTCCTTCGAGGTTGCCCGACCACGAACTGGAAACCCTTGTGGAACCCTTGTGAAAGACCCCTCCAAAACCATCACCAAACATCACGAAAATATGCCACTCTTTGTACCACCTAATAAAACAACCCTCACAGAACCATTATTCAAAATGCAAAAACCTTGTACAACCCTTCATAAACCTTATGTGGAAAAACCTTCTAAAAGCCTGAAGAAACCCAGAAGACCCTGTCGAGATGGTAGGCTTCGGGCGGTCCATTGGGATTGGCTTCAGGAGTTGCGGCTTTGCGGTAATTTTGTGTTAGCTTTTGCTCTTTGGGTTTTGGGGTTGAGGAAGGCTTCAAGGTTTAGGGTTTTAGATTCAGGGCTCAGGTTTGCTTGAGGGTTTAAATCGGGCTACGTTGAGGGCTAAAGTCGAGGGTTGTACTGCAGTGGCTGGGGTTGAGTGCTCCTTTCTACAGGCATACCCTGAACTTTCCACGGCCGAGGGTGGACCAGTTGCGACCACGGCGCAGGGACACGCGTGGAATGCCTCTGCGTCAGCCAAGTGTGACTCCAACGAGACGTTGTCCTCGAGCTCCCGAACACAGTGGTCGGGGGGTTAGTTGGTCAAGATTCTAGGGTTTGGGATGAAGATTTCAGGATCGGGATCCAAAAAAGGGGCTTACATGCAACCAGTGCTGTCAACGAGGTTGCCATACTGGTCCTTACGGAAGGTGCCTTGCTTCGGGCACTTTGATGAAAGGCATCCTGGTCCTAGTTCAGTCGCAATTCCGGCGGCCTGCATCCTCCTTGCACCAACCTTAACAGCTTGATGGAACCGTCGAACTGACAGGCAGCACCCGTTAATGATATAGACATAGAGGATGATAGTCGATAGCCTGAGATCTTGGGCTTGGGCCTGGGGTTTTCGGATCTTTCGAGTTTCAGGCCTTCGGGGCCTGCATGCTGGGGCAAGGGCTGAAATATGCAAAACCAGCTGCGCACCATGCAACCACTCAATCATGCACGATGCGAAGACGTAGTTGGCAGACTGGCCTTCCAAGAGGCATTCGGCATTGGGCTTCGCTGCAGGTCCAGAGCTCTAGGAGGGCTTTGGGGTTGCGGGTTTTGCTGAGCTGCGAGCTCCTTGTCCCGCCAGACGTTGGTGTAGAATGTTGGAATGACAGCAAGGAAGCAAATCACGAAACACCAGTACTGGATGCCAACAGGTGCAGGGAAGGCACATGACATCAGCTGCTTTCTGTTTAACGCATCAAGGCTCACAAGCTGCCTACGCAAAACGAGTATGATTTGAAAGTCTTCAAACTGTGGGGTAGTTGGATGCCCTCCAGGCTCTGGTTGAACTGAAAGCTAGGCGTCAAACTCTGCAGGCTGCTGGGTGGTTGGATGCCCGCCAAGCTCTGGTTGAAGTCGTGGCCAAACGTCAAACTCTGCAGGCCACTAGGTAGTTGGATGCCCTCCAGGCTCTGGTTGAAGTGAATGCCAAACTTCAAACTCTGCAGGCTGCTGGGTAGTTGGATGCCCTCCAAACTCTGGTTGAACTTGCCGCCGAACGTCAAGCTCTGCAGGCTGCTGGGTAGTTGGATGCCCTCCAGGCTCCGGTTGAACTCTTCGTCGAACGTCAAGCTCTGCAGGCTGCTGGGCAGTTGGACGCTCTCCATTCTTTGGTTGAAACCACCGCCCAATGTCAGACTCTGCAGGTTGCTGGGCAATTGGATGCCCTCCAAGCTCTGGTTGAAATTATAGCCAAACGTCAAACTCTGCAGGCTGCTGGGCAGTTGGATGCCCTTCAAGCTCCGGTTGAACTCGAAGCCAAACGTCAAACTCTGCAGGCTGCTGGGCAGTTGGATGCCCTTCAAGCTCTGGTTGAACTCGAAGCCAAACGTCAAACTCTGCAGGCTGCTGGGTAGGTGGATGCCATCCAAGCTCTGGTTGAAGGTCCTGCCAAACGTCAGACTCTGCAGGCTGCTGGGTAGGTGGATGCCATCCAAGCGCTGGTTGAAGGTCCTGCCAAACGTCAGACTCTGCAGGCTGCTGGGAAGTTGGATGCCTTGCAAGCTCTGGTTGAAGGCTCTGCCAAACGTCAAACTCTGCAGGCTGCTAGGTAGTTGGACGCCCTCCAAGCTATAGTTGAACTTGAAGGCAAACGTCAAACTCTGCAGGCTGCTGGGTAGTTGGATGCCCGCCAGGCTCTGGATAGTTTTTTTGCCAAACTCCCCAAACTGCAGACTGCTGGGTGGCTCGATGAAGTTCGGCCACTGGTTGTTGAACTCCTGGCCAAACGTCAAACTCTGCAGGCTGCTGGGTAGCTGGATGCCCGCCAGGCTCTGGTTGAAGTGAATGCCAAACTTCAAACTCTGCAGGCTGCTGGGTAGTTGGATGCCCGCCAAGCTCTGGTTGAAGTCGTGGCCAAACGTCAAACTCTGCAGGCTGCTGGGTAGTTGGACGCCCTCCAAGCTATGGTTGAACTTGAAGCCAAACGTCAGACTCTGCAGGCTGCTGGGTAGTTGGATGCCCTCCAGACTCTGGTTGAACTCTTCGTCGAACGTCAAGCTCTGCAGGCTGCTGGGCAGTTGGATGCCCTTCAAGCTCCGGTTGAACTCGAAGCCAAACGTCAAACTCTGCAGGCTGCTGGGTAGGTGGATGCCATCCAAGCTCTGGTTGAAGGTCCTGCCAAACGTCAGACTCTGCAGGCTGCTGGGTAGTTGGACGCCCTCCAAGCTATGGTTGAACTTAAAGCCAAACGTCAGACTCTGCAGGCTGCTGGGTAGTTGGATGCCCTCCAAACTCTGGTTGAATGAAGCACCAAACGTCAGACTCTGCAGGCTGCTGGGAAGTTGGATGCCCTCCAAACTCTGGTTGAAGCTGTCGCCGAACGTCAAACTCTGCAGGCTGCTGGGTAGCTGGATGCCCTCCAGGCTATAGTTGAACGCGTGGCCAAACGTCAAACTCTGCAGGCTGCTGGGTAGCTGGATGCCCTTCAAACTCTGGTTGAAGTCTCTGCCAAACGTCAAACTCTGCAGGCTGCTGGGTAGTTGGATGCCCTTCAAGCTCTGGTTGAACACGTGGCCAAACGTCAAACTCTGCAGGCTGCTGGGTACTTGGATGCCCTTCAAGGTCTGGTTGACATTCCACGTGAGCGACACGGTTTCGTTCATAGCAACTACATCTGCGTCAAACAGAGTCTTCTTCGCGAGCAGGCGCTGCCAACTTCTCGCGGCAAGACCCGCCCCAAGCTTCTGCACCAAGTAGGCGATCTCTCCGTGCTGGACTTGATGCAGCAGCGCCTCGCGCTGATTGATGACGCAACCACCAGATGTCAGCACGAGTGTCTCTGCAGAATGGCCACTTCTGCTTGCGATGTGTGCCGTCACATACCACCCCGCTTGGGAAGAGTTCACCTCCAGCTCAAAGCCGGACCCTGCCAGGCAATGGACTCTCACCGTCTGCTTCTTGGTTCCTCCAAAGATGTGCAATGGAACTCCAAAGATACGCAATGGAACCGCCCTGTCCGGACCAGCCTCTGACCCTGCGGGATGCAGCGTCGGCTCGGTCCGTCTGCGTCTACAGCACAGGACGCTCAAGATCTGCGTCATGGCGGCTGCATGCAATTTCAACGAATCGGCTGCACTGACATCCACAGGAAGGATGCGCAGCGTCACGCAAGCCTCCGAGGCCACCGCTGGCTCCATCCCCTGCCCGTCATAGCCCCGACTGCCGTCTGGAATGCTGATCACCAGACTCGCCCTGCGGCGCGTCATCGTCTGCTCGAGAGCTTGCCTACCCAGCTCACCAATCGTCTCGCACTTGAGTTGCAGCCGTTGCAGGTGACGGCACTTCTTCTTGGCCAAGTCGGCCGCAAAAGCTATCGCATCTTCGTCCCGCACATTCTCGCACGCGATCTCGACGTTGCAGGCGCCGGATTCCACCACGGCCAAGGACACCTTCCAAGCAGTCTTGGGGCTGCCCGCGACCACGAGCTCTTTCAGCTTGGTGTAGAAAGGCAGAGCTGCTAACAGAACGGCGATCTTGTCCTCATCCAAGTTCTCGATGAGGAGCCTGGTCGTGGACGCGGCCTTCTGGAGGAATACCTTCGCCTGGAGATTGAAGACCTCCTCCGAGTCCTCCCTGTGTGTAAACTTCATCTGCTGCATCCGTGCCCGGAACATGTCTGGCGGAAGCGGCACCGGATTTTCGCCCTTCATCCAAGTCCGAAGGGCAGACCACTCCTTCTCGGACCGGCACCAGCCCCGTTCCTCGTAGGGCGTCTCGTTTCGCTTGAGTTTGGTGATAAGCACGTCCGTCATCTTCTGCTCTTCCTCCCAATAAACGCAGATCTTGGGTCCGTGCGCTGCCACGCACCTTTCTCGCACGCTCTCCGGAGTCAGCATCTCGATCCGATGGACTTCCACGGCATCGTGGGAGTACATGACAAAAATGTCGCGAAGCGCACGCCGGAAGAGCCGCTCCTGATCATCGTTTCTGATGTATTGATGCAGGGACACGAAGTCGTAGAAGATCCAAACTACGGAATCCAGCAGTCGGGGACGGAACTCCTCCACGATGGCCTCCAGCTGGAACCTGGCAAGCAAGGGGCAGCAGGACAATTTGGACAATTTGTGTCGACATTCATCGCACTGCGATTTGCAGATCTACTCCTACAGCACAGTCTCAGAATTATCCCGCCCGAGCCCCGGACCTCCACGGATCCGGATGCTGCATGCTCTCCCACATGTGGCTGATGGAGACGAGGTGGACTTGGACCCGTCTGGGCACTGGGTGCCGGAGCATCACAGACATGTGGGCTGTATTGGGGTCAATGCTCACTTCTTTGAGCTCGCTGCTCTCTACGAGCGCCGGCGCCCCGGAGCTCGTCTTCTCCGTTTCTGCCTCTTGCCGGCGCGGCAGAGGCCTCCCGGACGCAGAGAGCTCCATCAGGTACTCAAGGCGCACCAGGCAGATGCCGGCATCTTCGAGGAAGTCGAGGAAAGATTCGGGTTTTGACAAGTCGTAGCTCGGCTCCTCTGCTGCGGATGCTGCAGCCATGGCTTTTGCGGCGGATCTAAAGAACTTGCCGGACTGTCTCTGGCTGTGATCACAAACAGCTGTGTGTGGCGAACATGCATCATGCTGTCAAAATAGCGTTTAACGCTCAATGCCCGGCCACTGCAGACAGTCAAATGCAACTGGCTCCACGATGCTGCGAAAACGCACTATTAGACAGGAGAAAGAGAAGAAAGAAACATTCTACATGGTAGACACTCTCTTCAGTCCAGCAAGGATTGTGGGGCCTTTGGATGGCAGCGCGCGCTGCAGCGCATGCACGGCCGCAGCGAAGCTGAAAATCCTGAGGGCATGCCGCTGGCTGGTTGTGGAGGATCCGGGGAGAACCGGGGCTGAGACTTTTGACTACGGTTTAGGGTTTAGGTGTTAGGGGGCTGGGCGTTTTGGCTTCAGGCCGGGCGTTTTGACTTCAGGCCGTGCAAGCTCTCGGTCGTTTTGACGCTTCCGGTCTGTTTGGATCTCGGGGCAGAGGCCAAGTTTGGGGTACATCAGGGGCTGCGGGAGAAATCAACAAGGTAGTCATCATTCAGGGTTCACGGTCTTGGGGCCAAGGGGCCATCGATCCTAATTACTCCCCAGCTAAGCCTCTGAAGCCTAAGTGCTCCCTCCCATGACTTCCTAAGCTCCAAAAAACCCGCAAGTCCTGGATGGAGGACCGAGCGTCCAAGAACCACTGTGAAAAACTATGTACGTCCAGTACTTTGAAGGGTTCTCTTCAGGGTTGGGGCTTAGGGTTTACGATTCAAGGATATCTATCGCCTCGTACTTTAAAGGGCTTCCTTCCTGTGGTTTAGGGTTCAGGATGTAGGCCATAGGGTTTAGGTCTAGGTTTAGGATTTAGGGCCTAGGCGGCTTTGCGGTCTGTGGTTTAGGGTTCAGGGCCTAGGCCTTGGAATGTAGGGCTTAGGGCTCTGGCTTTTTCATAACGCCTTTTTCCTCCTGTTTAAGTCTTACGCTTTAGAGCTTATACTCGTCAGCGCTTCCAGGGCTTATGGATGGGAGTGTAAGGGATGTAGGGTTTAGGGTGCAGGGATGAAGGCGCAAGGTTTAGGGTGTAAGGCTTCATGATGACGGGTTCATTGATGTGGCTGATGGGCGGCAAGATCCTGCATGACCCACAGGGCCTGTGAATAACCGTCCATAGAATTCCTGAGGGTTCATTAAAATCACTGCAGTTTGGTATGTCTGGCATACCACCGAAACCTGCTCCAATTATTCAGGCCCCTACGTTACGGGCTTGTAGAAGCACTTCTGAACCCTCTAGAAAGACCCTTAGAGTAACCCGACTCTAATGATTCAGGCCCCCATAATCATCTCAAGCCCGGCTGGGCCTCCTCCTGCCAGCATTTTGCGTGGCCAGGCCTGAACGCCACATCCTTCTGGGCTTGTGGTAAGCAACATAACCTCACTAGATGGCCCTAGCATTTGATTCTATCTTTCTGAGGGTTGAAGGGTGTCTTCTTGCACCCAAAGCTGATACAGCAAACAGAAACGAACCTAAGCTTAAAACCCAAACCCCAACATCCAAACCATGAGCCTCTTAACGCCAAACCCTGAACTCAAAACCTAAACGCCTAACCCCTACGCCCCAAAACACGGAAAGGTCACTGGCTTGATTAAGGAATCGCAATACCACCCAAAGTGCTCTACCAAAGCTCCCTCCCTGTTGGCCCGTCCGTCCTCGTACGCCGTCCGCGACAAGACGATGTCGCCGTTGGCTCGCTCGAAGACACCATTTAAGCAGAGGGTGCTGTATTTTTGGGTTTACTAGGAAACAGTACAGTAATAAGCCCGAAAACCTTATCGAAAGACCTTATCGAAAGAGTCAAGCCATGGGATGATAAGACCCAACACCGCAATAGAAAAGCATACACGTAGCATGCGCAATCCCAAGACCTAAACCCCAAAACCAGGCCAACATACCAAACCTGAAGTCGCAGGACAGGACCACATTAAATCCCCAAATTGAAACACCAAGCCCCTAAAACCACTAACCCCGAAAGCCTAAAACACCAAGCGGGAAAGCTCCACGAACTAAACCCACAAACCCAAAAGCGCAAATCGCTACGGCCCTAAACCGCCGCATCGAACAAACGCTCCCGCAATCTGCTGGTCTTTTTCCTTTGTCTTCCGGCACCTGCAGAGGGGGATCCCAGTCGATCTCGGTGCTGCGCGCTTCCTCGTGCTTCCGAAGGAAAGCCCGGGCGAGCTCCTTGCAGTTCCGGCTGAGCCTTTTGGGGGCTTCTTGGCTGTAGGGTTTAAGAGTTTAGGGTGTAGGGTTTAAAGTTTAAGGTTAACGATTTAGGGTTTAGGGTGTTGCGTGTAGGAGTTTAGGGTTTAGGAGTTTAGGGTTTAGGGTTTAGGGTTGGGCTCGGAGATCAGGGCCAGCGGCGTCAAAGCTTGGGAGGTGAAGGTTTGGGGCTCGGCATGTCTGGCGTTTTCTGGGAATCCTGCTTCCCCCCAAACCTCAACCATGTTTATACCGCTAATTTATGCCTTAAACCCTAATCCCCAATTAAAAACCTCAAACCCTAAAAGCCCTGAACCCAAGACCCTAAATCCTAAACCCTAAAAACCCTGCAACGCTAAACACCCTGCAACCCTAAAAGCCCTACAACTCTGAACCCTCAAACCCTGAACCCCCAAAACCCTGAAACCCTTAAATTCTAAACCCCTATCCACGGTCCTCTTGAGCTCGCCGGTCGGGCACCTTCGTCGGGACGCCGATGGGCTCCTCCTCCGGCGCAAACCTGGGCTGGTCGACAGGAAAAGGCGGATTCGGGTTTAAGGTTAAGGACTTCAGGGTTTGAGGCAGGCGTTTGGGGTTAAGGGCTTTGAGGAGTTTCTAAGGTTTGAGGCTTAGGGCTAAGAGCTTTAGGGCTTTAGGGTTTGAGGCTTTATGGTTTGGCTTTAGGGGTTTAGGGTTTAGGGCAGGATTAGGATTTGGAACTTTAGGGACTATAGGGTTGAGACGATCACCCTGCAGCTCACGGCTCAGCCCCATAAGAATAGAAATGCGGTGTGAGATGCGGCAGCACTGGCGGAGGAGAGTCATAGTCCTTCAGGCTTCAGCGTTCAGAGCTTGGGGCAAACCCTAAACCCCTAAACCCAAAACCCCAAACCCCCAAACTCTAAACCCCTAAACCCTAAACCCCTAGACCCTAAACCCCTAAACCGAGCTTTTCGACTTCAGGGCTTTCTGGCTTTAGAGTTTCAGGGCTTCGGTGCTCCGGAGCAGCGCGAGGGCGGAGCCCAGTGCACTTTGCAAACAAGCAAAGGCCTAGGATGCCCCTTGGTTCCCCCCATATCCCCTTCCTTTGCACCGAATACTGTGGCTTTCAGAATATTTCGAATTGGGTTTTGGGTGGTATCTGCTGCAGTACAAACCCACAAATCATTACTGGCTGTTCCGAAAAGTATTTGATGGCTGTCCGGGAATACTACCACTGATAGTTCCAAGCCCCTTATTGCAAAAGCAGGCCCCGGTGGTCTCCTGGTAGCACTCCGGCACCTCGGAGTTCAGCCAAACGCGAGACAGACCGTAGCAGCCGATGGAGCAGCAGCCAACCATCTGCTGGGACCTTGGAACCCCCAAGGACACCCCATATGGGTCCTTTTTTGCAGGGTTTCAGGGATTCCTGTATGAGTTCTTCTATAAGGGTTGGAGCAGGAAACTGGGGAACCCGCAAGGCGAACTCTGGAGGTACAGAGCCTTTCGGCGAGAACAGTCACACCGATGTCTGTACCTACGTTTTACAGCCTGTCATTGTACATGACCCGAAAAGATCCAGATCTCCATGCCATCTCCTGCGTTGGGAGCAGCTACGGTTCGAGTGGGAGTTGAAGGGCCTCCACAGTCACCGCGACACAGGGTTTAGGGTTTAGGGTTGAGGCATGCTGAACAGTTGACAAAAGCGGTCTCGATCATCGTAGTAATGAGAAGCGCATTCCGGCACCAAAACATGATGTCCAATGACATCTATGCCTCGCTACCGTGTTGTCTAAGGCACTGGTGCCAAAGGGCGGCCAATCTGTTCTTAGGCGTCAACACCCTGCCAAGCCTGCAACCTTTTCGTTTAGGGCTTTTGGGGGTTACGATTTGGGGTTTAGGGTCTATGGTTCGGGGTTTAGGGTTTATGGTTTGGGGGTTTAGGGTTTAGGGTGTTGAACAGACTGGCGGCGTCGGCAGCGTGGCGTTGAGCGCCTGACAGATGTGCCTGGGAGCTGCGCAGCATCACCAGAGCATAAGACACTGTACACTGTACTCTAGTACCATAGTTGATACGATCAGCTATACTATCTTGCTGTAGAGTAAAATAGTATAAGGTACTCTAAGAGACTATACTCTTTCAGTTAGGGTCCCTTTCTGAACCCCGAAGAGAGTATGTCGCTCTTATCATGGGAACACTGAAGGGGGCCCTGATTTAATGAATGCCGCAATTGTCACTGGCACGTGCTCACTGACGGCTTTAGGTCACGCTACTTTGCTGGAGCTGCTGGACACTGGTAAACTCCGCACCTGAAGCTCTTGAGAACCTCACCAAAGCCCCATGAAACCTCATACCCCAGGCCCTGTAGAATCCGATGAAGCCGTCGCCAAGAGGCCTACCGTAAGATTCTGCCGACCCCAAACCCCAAAAGCCTAAAACTTCAAATCCGGACCCTGAGTCGTAAACCCCAAACGGAAGCCTTTTTACTGGCCGGTCCCTTTAAAGACCACTTTAGGCGAACCCTTAAAGAAGCCTTGAAAGGAACCTTCATGAAGCCCTGAAAAGTCCCCTTTCAAGGTCCCCGGCCTCGCATGGTAGAAGGTCGCCGAGCTCGAGAAGCAGTTGCCGATGGTCTGGCCGCGCAACTGCCAGGTGCGGTTCCTTCGCATCCGGGTTTATGGCTTGTGACTTTTAGGGTTGGGGCTTTGAGCTTCGGATTTAGGGGAGTTTAGGGTTCAAGGTCCAGGGTTCAGGAAAGTTGAGAGTTTAGGGCTTTAGAGATTGGTGTGGTTGCTTCGGATGGATTGGGCACTCCTGGTTTTTGTGAACGTTGGCTTTTGCTTGTTGCTGTTATGCACTCTTTGCCTTAGGGTTTGGATTTTTGGAAAGAGTTTGTGGGCTAGGGGCTGAGAGTCCTTGATTGAGAGGGCTAGAACACCGCCATGGGTTTAGCGAAGTGCGACAGACTGCGCAACAAGTCTTGAGGATTCCCTTGTGCACAGCATGCCTGCTGCCATGAAGATCATGGAATGAAGCTTAAACCTTCAGCCCAAAGCAGGGCCTAGATACCAATTGATCGGCTCCTGTATGAACCTTGGCCCTGCCAAAGGGCCCTAACTTAGAGAACTACCCAAATCGACTTGCAGCTTCTTCAGTTCAGCCCTAAATGCCAAATCCAACAACCGGACGCCCGGAATCCCAATCAAACCGCATGCGGCCCAGAAACACTACCTTCGTGTGATAACCTTTGAGGAACTTCCTAAAGAAGAAGCCCCAAACATGTGGGGAAACCCAACGGCGGATCCTACCAAAACCTCAAACCCCTGAAGCTCTAACAACCCTAACACGCCAACAGCTCTAAACATTCGGATGGCAGACCTCGGCAGCAATGCAGAGAAGCAGAAGTTGTGTGCAGGGCTCCAGCCTGACTTGCACCATTAAAGGAGTCTTTGAGGCGTTTCGCTGGTTTGCAAGGCTTTAGGGGTTTGGTGTTCTGCCTGTCAGCCCGATGACTCCAGAATCCCCTAGACATCCTCTGCATTTCTGGAGTTAAGGCGTAGGACTTCCGCTTTTCAAGCTCTCAGGTTTAGGCTTTCGGGTTTGGCGGTTCGGGGAAGGGATCGCGGTCAAACTCGACGGGAAAACGAACACCACTTTGGGCTTACATAGGCTTAGGATGTACAGGTACAGATTTGATTAGGATAGAGATATTTGGCCCTTCCACTTGGGATTCAGTGTTTCGGTTTAAGGATACCGGGGTGGCCGGAGCCCTTGTAAAAGGATCTTTGCTGCGGCATGCAACTTGTGTGATTTCGGGTGGAGGGAATTCCTGCGGGCTAGCTCCCGCTTACTCCTTCCTGTGCCACTTTATGGGGATAATATATCTAGCTCTTCAGAATCAGAATGAAGCTATTGCTCTGAAGCTTCTTCCTCCTTTTTAGTTAGAATAGGCTTGTTTCCAAGGGTGCTTATACGGTGTTGAAAATGCGTTTTGAAGACGAGCCGAAAGGCCGAAAGTCTAAACCCTCAACCGCAAGCCAGTTGCGATCAGGTCGCATGCCACGCCGGCATAGCCGTCTGCCCCGATCAGCTCCGTTCGCTCGCGCGGGTCGCCTACAGCTTCCAACAGAACAGCGTGTGGCAGCGCAGCATGAGAGTTTGGAAGCATGAGCCCTAAGCAGCAGACCATGAGTTCCGACGAATCTGAACAACTCCCCGAACCCTAACCCCGCCCCTCCCACCCCCCCCTCAACAAAAACAACAAACAAAGAGAACTGTGCCCCAAACCCCTAAACCCCGTTTGGCAAAGACTCAGGGAACCCAATACAACTTCAACAAGGATTCTTTAAATCATAGTGCTACATTCCTATTACTTCGATCATGAAACTAAGCCCCTTACAGTTTTAAGATACACTCCAACACTCCTCAATTCAGGGGTATACTTTAGATCATAAGCCCCTGATAGCGCAAGCTACCTTCCTGAAATCAGGGATGCTGGCTCTCTGAGAATAACGGATCCGGGCCTCCTCCCCAGCAGGTCGCCTTCAGGATCCACGCCTCCAGGGGCCGTCGTTTGGGGGAGTTCAAGGCTTAGAGTTTAGGGTTTGGGGATTAGGGCCTGATTAGGGTTTGGGGCTTTTGTTTTAGGTTTCAGGGGTTCAGGGGTCTAGGCTTGCAGGGTTCGACGGTTTAGGGATCGAGTTTGTAGATGTACTGCTCGGGGTGGAGGACACAGTTGGGAGTCATTCGATGCAGGCATTGCGGGTTGCTGGGCTCACGGGATCGATGGCTGACATCTTCTAGGTTTGGGGCTTCTGGCTTGGAGTTCCCAGTCTCGGTTTCGTTTCCAGGGCTGATGGATAGGCTCCACGGTTCGAGTTTACGGTTTGGGGCTTGGCGGCTTTGGGTCTAAGGCCTGCACCCTACGCCCAACACCCAAAGCGCTAGACTCGAATGCCACGCCTTAAGGACCCTAAGCCCCAAAATGCCGAAGATTGAAAAAGACCGAAAGACCTCGAAACTCTGTAAGATCCTATAGAGGCTTGTGATGCCCGAATACAACGACACGACGCCAATGGAAATCGTGGCAAAAGCACTCTAGAACAACTCTCTTCACAAGAGAGCCTGGAAGTTCCCGCAGGGCGGAAGCTCCGGTGCTCTTTTCGCCGGCGCCGCCGCAGACGCCGCACAGAACCTGAGGATTTGGGTTTTAGGAGATTCGGGCTCCTTCACAAATCCTAATTTAGGAGACCCTGAGAACATATCATGAAAACAGCCCTTTGGCCTAGGCCTTTAAAAGTGGTACGCTGCAAACAGGGTTTAGTCAGCGTTTAGGGCTTAAGCGATGCAACTTGAAAGGGCTTGTGGTAGCTGTGGGCTTTCCATGTCAGTCCTCGAAGGTCAGACCAAGGAGCTCCACGACATCAACCAGCGGGCGCCTGGATGCAGGAGCTCAAAATCTTAATCCACAACTGACAGTTTCTAGGGATTCTAGAGCATAGCCTCGCAAACCTCGAAGAAGCTTCCAAGCATTGTTTCAAGTTTTAAGGCTTTAAGCTAAGGGTTTCAGGGCTTTGGGTTGTGGTGATTATGGTAACAACTCCAAACACTGCGAAACCCCACAACGCCGGAAACCCTGACAGCAACCCGATACCGTGCGATCAACACGGTCTCTGTCACCTCTCGAAACCCCCGAGCATCAAAAGACACGGCTGCATCCAAACTTGATTCGTACACTTCGTCAACGCCGCAAGAAGGTGATTTCATTCCACGCCTACATACACGCTTCTTCCAACTTATTCCGCCTGCTGCCCGCAGCGGGCCGACCCGGAGCATGCGGAGGCGCGTGGAGGATGGCATTGTGAGGAAGTTCGTTTGCAGAAGCCTGGCATCTTCGAGTTTCAGAGAGGTTTTGAGAAGCGGGGTTTAGGGCTCTCGAGATTGTTGGCTTCAGAAATGGGATCTCTAAATATGAGAAGTACGGTGTTGCTGGAAGTCCTTATGACACCCTTATTAAACCCTTGATAACCCCTTGCTGAACCCCACTTCAAAAGCCTGGGAAACCCAAACATCGAAGAAAAAAGCCTATAACACCCTGAAGAAAAATACTGGAGGAAAAGACCAGCAAAAAACCTATAGAGCCCATTGCACCGAAGAAATCCTCAAACCAAACCCTTACAAACCCCTATAGAGCCCAGAACACTGCAAACATCCTGAAACAACAAAGCTCTACAGACCCCAAATCTTCGAAGCAGAAACCCGGAATCGGTTCAGGGTTTAGGGTTTAGGGTAAACCCTAAACCCTCAAAGCCCAAAGCCCCAAACTTTTCGAAGCACCCGGCCTTGAAGCTCAAAGGAGCTGGGAGGAAGGCCTCGTGGTCGAAGGGCTCGGACGAAAAATTTGCGGAGCGCTCCGCATCCTCAGTGAACTTAGGGCTATTTAGGGTCAAAGGGTTACGGTTGAACGGCTTAGACGGGGTCTATCGGGGATCTATAGGGGATAATTTCCGGGATCTAGATAGGGTTTTAGGGCTCTCGGGTTTCAGATTTTGAGGGAAAAGGGTTTAAGGATTTGGGGTGGTGGGCTCGGGATTTTGTGGGCCTGGGGATCTCTGGGAGTGGTTGCGTGTCGGGCTGGACATCCGGCCGGGCTTCTGTGTCTCGTGCCCTGGGATGCTGACAAAGAACACAGAAGTTCTGCCACCTACTGCCTCGTAGGATTCATAATGGGCTTTAAAGCAATTCTTTCAATGATTCAAGCGTCAGACTCCGGGGCTTATGGCTGAAATAGCGTAGGGCTAGAATTGAAGCTGGGGTGCTTGTGGCTTGAAGCGGGTCTCAGGTAACCTAACCTCCAAACCCAGAACCACCTGAAACCACATGCCCAAATCCTGAAAACCCAGAATGTTAACCCCACATCCTAAACTCTACACAAGCGAAGTCCTAAACCATCCACCTGAGATGCCCAATCCTACACCCCAAAACCACAACTCCTAAACTCCTATCCTAAAGCTCTAATCGACCCTAAACCCACAACCCCAAGTCCTGAACCCACCAATCCCGACATCTAGAGAAAGAAAGGGCCAACAATTTCCTGCCTGGGCTCGAGGTCGACCATCTGAGGCGACAGCGCGTGCAGGTAGTGCAACTGCACCTCTTCGTACTGGCCGATCAAACAAACCATGCAGAGAGCTTTAGGGTTTTAGGGTTTAGGGTTTAGGAGTTAGGGTCATGCTGTTTCTTGTTTGGTGGGGTCTTTGGCCGTCGGGTCGGAGTGGAATACCAGTTACTTTGTTCTGTTGTACCGGGCAGTATGATGATGCTGCTGACAGGATATGACAATCATTCTGCGCAGTAGTGGTAGCAGTATCCTCTGCAGGGCCCCCAATTTGTAGCTACAATACAACACGAAGGAACGACAGTAGCAAAACTTACATGACTTACATGACGGGATCCCGAAAACAGATTGCAAAGGACCCCCAAAGGATCACCAATTCGCAGCAACCTTCACAAAAATTGGAGACCCACCACAAAGCCCTCGACTTTAAAAAACCGTAACGACCACACCATAAAACCCTAAAAGCCTCCCTTTGTCAGAGTCATCAGGACACGCTGGCCTCGAGCCCGCCGTGGCGGCGCAGGTCTCGGCGCCAGTGCTGAAAGGCTCGGCCGGTGCAGGCGAAGAGGTAGTAGTGGTCCGCCTCCTTGGTAACGTTAAGGTTTTTTGAAAGGATTCCCAAAAAAAGATTCAAAAGGAATGTGAAAGGAATCTTTAAGGTGGTTTTTGGTGGTCGGCCTCCTTCTGGGGGAACTATAGGGGGATTTTTTGAAAGGAGTCCAAGAACGATTCAGAAGGATTTTGCAAGGAATCTATAGGATGATTTTGGTTGTCCGCCTCCTCTTGGGGTAAGAAAGGCTTCTACAACGGTATAAGATTTCTGTCAAGGTTTTGAAGCGTCTCGTAGCGATGTTGCTGTGTTCCGTAGATCCAACGTCACCTCAATTCCCTTTATGATCGCCTGGTTATAGATCTTGAAGAGATTCCTTGCAGTATGGGTTCCTTATAGATCCCCCTAGAATCTCCGGAGAACCCCTGCAAGGAACCCGAAGCGAACATGATTCAAGGCCAAGGTGCCCACCAACTCACAAGCGCGACATGGCGGCTGAGCTCCTCACGACAAAGACTGGAGGCTGCTTTCAGGTGTCCCTTTCGCGCGCCCGTCCACGGCAAGCTTGTCATACTTTGTAGCAGGGTTTCCCCTTTTTTCAGGGATCCCAAACCCCACACTCCGCGGGCCTAGTGCCCAGCCCGCCAGATTTGGATAGTGATGCATCATATAATACAGACCTCGAACAAAAATAATGGGGTTGTGGGGATTACTGCGGCTTGGTATGGTATGGTATAGTATAGTAGAGTATAGCCACAACAAGGACCCGTAAGGAATGCTACTGATACTTCTTCTGCAGCGCCCCACCCTGGAGATGCCAGAGGCCCTGCCATGTCCCGAAGTCGCACTGCAATGCACCACACACTGCACCATGGCCAAACATCGCGCTCCCTTGCCTGCACCATGCCCTGACCCCAGACTTTCAAGAACGACTGCTCCAACACCCAGGCCCTACAAGGAACTCAAAACTCTAAACCCTACCAAGAATGTCAAGAAGAGCCTGTACCTTTGACCCCGAAGGTTGAGGAAACCCCTCCTCCAACGCCGCATTGCCGACCAGCGCCGCCCGAACCCTCCTCGCCATGCAGCATACTGTGCTGTAAAAGGGAACACTGGTCGAGTTTTTCGAACTCCTATACTAACCCACACAAAGAAAGCCCAAACCCTCAGCCCTAAGATCCTAAGCCCCTACGATCCCAAGCCCCTAAGATCCCCGAAACTCCTAAAAACCCTAAACCCACCTCAACCCTAAACCCTAAACTCTAAGATCTCAAAAAAGAAGGTGGGAACCCCCCAGCCTCGGCCGTGCTGGCCAGAGCGAGGGACCCCAAAGGGCCGCCAGGGCATCGGTGCACGTGTCCAGGGCCGCCGCCTTTTTGGTGTACTCGGATATTGAAGGGCTTATGGGTTGAAGGGGGTGTAGAGTTTCGGCTTTGGGTTTAAGGGCTAAAGATTTAGGGGTTCAGGGCTTCGGATTTAGGTGCGTGAGCATCTTTGGATTTTTGAGGCTTTGGGGTTTGGGGAGAGCTGCCGGAGTAGAATCTGAAATTATATCATGAACGAGCTTCCGATACAAAGAGATCCCCATGAAAGAAGAGGCTGAATCAGAGGGCCGGCAGGCGGTGCTGCGCGGATCGTGGTGGTCGAAGTGGTAGTAGTGGAATCCGGTCTTGTCCGGGACGTTTCACGGCCGAGAGAGGATCAGTTGCGATCATGGCGCAGGAACACGCATGGGACGCCCTTGCGAGCCAAGTGGGAGTCCCACCAGACATTGTCCTCGAACTCCCGAACACAATGGCCGGGTTTAGAGGGTCAAGTTTCTAGGGTTGGAATTAAGGTTTCAAGATCAGAATTCAACTAATTGGGCTCACAGTCAAGAGGGAAGTGGTGTAAACGAGGTTGCCATACAGTGGCCATTACGGAAGGTGCCTCGATTCGGCGACTTTGATGAAGGGATAATCCTAGTTCACTCGGAGATCCAGCATCCTGCATCTTCCTGGCACCAATCTTCAATACCCAAGCCTCAACGGCCTGATGGAACCGTAGAACTACAGGCGATACTGCACTTTCTAAAGTATTGACGATGCTCATCGATAGTCTGAGATCTTGGGCTTGGGCTAGGGCCAAGGCTGAAATATACAAACCCGATGGGGAGGCCGAGCATCCTCGATCATGCACGATGCGAGGATGTAGTCAGCAGAAGGACCTCCCGCGAGGCTTCGGGCTTCGCTGGAGGTCCAGAGCTCTCTGGGGGTTTAGGGTGTGCTTGATACCAACAGGTGCAGGAAAGCACTTCTGCGGATGACATCAGCTGCTTTCTGTCTAACACATTATGGATCACCAGCTGCCTACGCACAACTCATGTGAAGTGAAACTCTTCAAATTGTAGGGAAGTTGGATGCCCTCCAAACTCTGGTTGAACTCCTTGCCGAACGTCAAACTCTGCAGGCTGCTGGAAAGTTGGATGCCCTCCAGGCTCTGGTTGAACTGGCCACCAAACGTTACACTCTGAAGGCTGCCGGGTAGCTGAATACCCGCCAAGCTCTGGTTGAACCTGTCGCCAAACGTCAAACTCTGCAGGCTGCTGGGTAGTTGGATGCCCTCCAGGCTCTGGTTAAACCATTCACCAAACGTCAAACTCTGTAGGCTGCTGGGTAGTTGGATGCCCTCAAGGCTCTGGTTGAACTCCTTGCCAAACGTCAAACTCTGCAGGCTGCTGGGAAGTTGGATGCCCTCAGGGCTCTGGTTGAACTCGCTGCCAAACGTCAAACTCTGCAGGCTGCTGGGAAGTTGGATGCCCTCCAGGCTCCGGTTGAAGCTGTAGCCAAACCTCAAACTCTGCAGGCTGCTGGGTAGTTGGATGCCCTCCAAGCTGTGGTTGAACATGAAGCCAAACGTCAAGCTCTGCAGGCTGCTGGGTAGTTGGATGCCCTCCAGGCTCTGGTTGAACTTTTGGCCAAACGTCAAGCTCTGCAGGCTGCAAACGTCAAGCTCTGCAGGCTGCTGGGTAGTTGGATGCCCTCCAGGCTCTGATTGAAATTCAAGCCAAACGTCAAACTCTGCAGGCTGCTGGGTAGTTGGATGCCATCCAAGCTCTGGTTGAACTCGTCGCCAAACGTCAAACTCTGCAGGCTGCTGGGAAGTTGGATGCCCTCCAGGCTCCGGTTGAAGCTGTAGCCAAACCTCAAACTCTGCAGGCTGGTGGGTAGTTGGATGCCCGCCAGGCTCTGGTTGAACTGGCCACCAAACGTTACACTCTGAAGGCTGCCGGGTAGCTGAATACCCGCCAAGCTCTGGTTGAACCTGTCGCCAAACGTCAAACTCTGCAGGCTGCTGGGTAGTTGGATGCCCTCCAGGCTCTGGATGAACTGGCCACCAAACGTTACACTCTGAAGGTTGCTGGGTAGTTGGATGCCCTCCAAGCTGTGGTTGAACATGAAGCCAAACGTCAAACTCTGCAGGCTGCTGGGTAGTTGGATGCCCTCAGGGCTCTGGTTGAACTCGCTGCCAAACGTCAAACTCTGCAGGCTGCTGGGAAGTTGGATGCCCTCCAGGCTCCGGTTGAAGCTGTAGCCAAACCTCAAACTCTGCAGGCTGCTAGGTAGTTGGATGCGCTGCAATCTCTGGTTGAACCTGTCGCCGAACGTCAAACTCTGCAGGCTGCTGGGTAGTTGGATGCCCTCCATGCTTTGGTTGAACTGGTTGCCAAACGTCAAGCTCTGCAGGCTGCTGGGTAGTTGGATGCCCTCCAGGCTCTGGTTGAACTTTTGGCCAAACGTCAAGCTCTGCAGGCTGCTGGGTAGTTGGATGCCCTCCAGGCTCTGATTGAAATTCAAGCCAAACGTCAAACTCTGCAGGCTGCTGGGTAGTTGGATGCCATCCAGGCTCTGGTTGAACCATTCACCAAACGTCAAACTCTGTAGGCTGCTGGGTAGTTGGATGCCCTCAAGGCTCTGGTTGAACTCCTTGCCAAACGTCAAACTCTGCAGGCTGCTGGGAAGTTGGATGCCCTTCAAGCTCTGCTTGACGCTCCACGTGAGTGACACGGTTTCGTTTAGGGCAGCAACATCTGTGTCGGACAATGTCTTCTCGTCGAGAAGGCGCTGCCAACTTCTTGCGGCTCGACCCGCGCCAAGCTTCTGCACCACGTACGTGATCTCGCCGTGCTGCACTTGACGCAGCAGCGGCTCGCGTTGATCGATGACGCAACCACCGGATGTCAGCACGAGTGTCTCTGCAGGACGGCCACTTCTGCTTGCGATGTGTTCCGCCACATCCCACCCCGTTTGGGCAGAGTTGACCTCCAGCTCAAAGCTGGACCCTGCCAGGCAATGGACGCTCACGGCCTGCTTGACCTGGTCCGAACCTGCCTCTATGGGCTGTGGGAAGCTCGAGATCATGCCACCTCCGGACGCATGCGGCTCCAACGGACCACTCGCACTGGTTTTATTCCCGGCGTGCGCGGGACCGGCAGCCGTGGCTTCTGCAAGTATTCGGGGTTGGCTGCGCTTGAAGACAAGGATGCGCAGCGTCACGCAAGTCTCCGAAGCCGCCGCTGGCTCGATCCCCTGCTCGACGTAGCCCCGACTGCGGTCTGGAATGGAAATCACCAGACTCGCCCTGTGGCGCTGCATCATCTGCTCGAGGGCTTGCCTGCCCAGCTCACCCATCGTCTCGCATTTTAGGTGCAGCTGTTCTAAGTGATTGCAGTTCTCCTTGGACAAGTCGGCCGCAAAAGCTATCGCATCTTCGTCTCGCACATTCTCGCAAGCGATCTCGATACTGCAGGCACCGGATTCCACCACTCCCAAAGCCGCCTTCCAAGCATTCTTCGGGCTTCCCATGACCACGAGCTCTTTGAGCTTGGTGTAGAAAGGCAGAGCTGCAGCCAGAACGGCGATCTTGTCGTCATCCAGGTTTTCGATGAGGAGATTGGTGGTGGACTCGGCCTTCTGGTGGAAGACCTTCGCCTGGAGCTTGAAGACCTTCTCCGAGTCCTCCCTGTGTGTAAACTTCAGCTGCTGCATCCGTGCACGGAACATGGATGGTGGGAGCGGCACCGGATTCTCGCCCTTCATCCAAGTCCGCAACGCAGACCACTCCTTCTCGGACCGGCACCAGCCCCGTTCCTCGTAGGGCGTCTCGTTCCACTTGAGCTGAGAGATGTGTACATCCATCATCTTCTGCTCCTCCTTCCAGTAAACGAAGATCTTGGATCCGTGCGCTGCCGCGCACCTTTCTCGCACGCTCTCCGGAGTCAATGTCTCAATGCGATGAACTTCCATGGCATCGTGGGAGTACATGACAAAAATGTCGCGGAGCGCCCGTCGGAAAAGCATCTCTTGTTCTTCGTTTCTGGTGTATTGGTGCAAGGAAACGAAGTCGTAGAAGATCCAAACTACTGAATCCAGGAGTCGGGGACGGAACTCCTCCACGATGGCATCCAGCTGGAACCTCGCAGCAAGGGCAGCAAGACAAGGTGGTGCGACATGAAACACACTGCGATGAGCAGATCTACCCCCTACAACACAGTCCCGGAATTATCCCACCCGAACCCCGAACCTCCACGGATCCGGATGCTGCATGCTCTCCCACATGTGGCTGATGGAGACGAGGTGGACTTGCACCCGTCTGGGAACTGGGTGCCGGAGCATCACAGACATGTGGGCTGTGTTGGGGTCAATCCTCACTTCTTTGAGCTCGCTGCTCTCTACCAGCGCCGGCGCCCCTGAGCTCGTCTTCTCCTTCTCCGCCTCTTGACGGCGCGGCAAAGGCCTGCCGGAGGCAGAGAGCTCGACCAGGTACTCGAGGCGCACCAGGCGGATGCCGGCATCTTCGAGGAAGCTGAGTAGAGCTTCCGGCACAGACAAGTCGTAGCTCGTCTCCTCGGCTGCGGATGATGAAGCCATGGCGTTTGCGGCGAATCTAAAGAACTTGGCTGGACTGTCTTTCTGGCTGGATCAGAAACATCTGCGTGAAAAACGTGCATCATGTCAAATTAAGTCAGGGTGTAAGGCTCAATGCTTGCACCTCCAGATTCGGAGCTGAAGAAACATCATTTCGAACCTGAACTTCCGTAACCCTCAGCCTCAGCCGCTGTAGAAAATGCTCGGAATAACGCAATAGTAGACATGGTAAGAAGAAGCAATATTCTTTTCATAGGAGGAATTCTCTTAATCGTAGCAATGATGATGAGGCCTTGGGATGGCAGCGCCCGTTGCAGCGCACGCACGGCCGCAGCGAAGTCGAACATCCTGCGGGCACGCCGTTGGCTGGTTGTGGAGGATCCGGGGGAACTAGGGGTGAGAGTCTTGGCTTTAGGCCGTGCAGGCTCTCAACCTTTGTAAAGGATTCTAGCCTGTTTGAGTATTCGCGCGCAGGCCGATTAGGAGTTTGAAGCACATCAAGGGCTACGGGAGAAGTCGTCGTAGTGGGACCGATGCCAAACCCCTAAACCCAAAGTGTTCTCTCCCATCTGCTTCAGCTTCCTAAGCTCCGAAAGCCCGCAGGTCCTGGATGGAAGACCTATACGTAAGTGAAATCGGTCTTTAACGGGTTGATTGCTTAGGGCTTGGGTTCAGGGTTTATAGGGGGTTCAGGGCAACATCTGAGCAGGCCTAGTGCTTAAGGGGGTTCCTTCCTTTCAGATGGGAGGCTTCATGACCGAAACACGGTGGGTTCGGACTGCTCTATCCCGCGAATAGGACACAATGCCCTTTCCATAAAGGCCCTGATTTTAGAATCCCCAGTACAACTTGCATTCAAGGCGACAGGCTTTAGTTATCAGCGGTCCAAAATATGCATGACAACTTATAGCCACAACCTTTGCCTTAAAACCCTAAGCTCCAAGCCCTAAATCCCAAACCGTAGTCCGAAACCGGGGTTCAGGGATTAAATTTCGAATCTTCGGACTGCACCCGTTTCAGGCCGTGGGCGTTAACCCTTCACCTTAAGCCCTAAACCGTAAACCCCAAAACCGTAAACCCCCCACAAAACCCTTCCCTCCTTCGATTCGATCTCCGAGTCTCCATTGGTCAATAAAACGACGATGGCCCAGGATTCCACAAGGTTGTCGAATCCTGGGGCAGGAGGTTTTTCGGATGTCGGGTTTGGTATTCGGGCGCTTAAGAGGCTTTGCGGACTTTGGAGGGTGGATCAGGAGGGGGAGGGGTTTGTCTACCTTCCTTCGACCCCCATCCCTCTAATTTCCCATTGCTTGTGCATGTTGGCTTTTAAATTTTGGGATGCTGTAGGGCTTTGCAGCGTCGTGCCCGAGTAGATTCAGGCTCTGGGGTGCTTTGATGATATAAACATCATCTTCCGGTGTTTCTTGGCTTCAGGGCGTTGGGCTTTGCGGCCTTCCGAACAAGGACACTCGGATTCCAGGGTGTAGGGTTCGCAGGCGGTCGCAGTTTGGATGGTGCGACAGGGTTGGAATCAATAGCGATGGCTCTGAGAGCTTGGGAACAAGATCGAAACTTTTCAGACTAAGGCTTCCTATAACCGGAGAAAACTTAGGCAGCAAAGACTCGCAGCCCAAGGTGCAGATTCGCAACGGCACACATGCCCCGGCGGTCGTGCCTGGAGCCCCAGGCTGCGGGGGTTCAGAGCTTCGGGCCTTCGCAAGCTTCGAGTGTCAGGGCGGGTTCAACGTTTGTGTTTGGGGTAGCCCGGAGGGATTGGCTCTCCGCAGCGAAGCAGCAGCGGGTTGAAGGTGACGCCCTGAGATTAAGTTTAGGACTTGGGCTTTACGGCTTATGCTTTAGGGCTCAGGATGTAGGCCATAGGTTTAGGTTTAAGATGTAAACCCTTGGTCCGGTCCTAGGTTTAGGGTTGAGGGCTTGGGCGTTGGGGTTTAGGGCTTAGAATTCTGGCCTTTTGATAACACCTTGTTCCTCCTGTTTAAGGCTTATGCCTTTTTTGCTTGTACTTGTTGTTAGGGCTTACAGGGCTCATGGATGAGAGTGTAAGGGGTGTAGGGTTGAGGGTGCAGGGATGAAGGTGCAAGGTTTGGGGTGCAAGGCTTCATGATGACGGGTTCATTGGGCTCATTGATGCGGCTGATGGGTGGCAAGAACCTGCATGAAGCACTTCTGAATCCTCTAAAAGGACCTTCAAGGGAACCGGAGTCTCATGATCAAGGCCCCTCTACTAGCCTTAAGCCCGGCTGGGCCTCCTCACGCCACATCCTTCTGGGCTCGTGGTGAAGCGACGCAACCAGGCCGCCTCTTGCGATCTCCGGTCATGCGTTGGAACTTGACACTTCAAGAAGTTTAGAAACTCGGCTTCGAGGCTTTGGCTCGGAGGTTGCGTCCCTCCGGGGTCTTGAGTTATCCGTCTTCAAAAACGACTCACCCACAAGAGCCATGCTGACAGACTCACCGAAAGCCCCAGAAACTCCTCCCAATACATCAGTGTTCCACCATGGTCGAACATACCCTAAAGCCTTCTTGAGATCTTGATTACCCAAAGCCTTCTTAAATCACAATAGTGTACCACTTTGAGCTATCATCCGCTTAAGTTTACCATGGTGTTGTGTGATTAGGTTTACCACCGCAAGAGAAACGCATACACGTAGCATGTGCAATCCCAAGATCTATAAACTCGAAACCAACCCCCCGAACACCAAACCCTGAAGTCCCAGCACCCGCAAACCCTGAAAACACCAAGCCCCTGAACCCCTGAACCCTAAACCCCAAACCCCTTTCAATCGTGCGTTAGAGACCAGGGCACCGAGCTGTCCCTTGCTGCATCTTCAGTTTGCATTCGTGTGATGTGGCTCAGCCCTCCTACGACTCGGAGGTCCTTGGAAGTTGCCCGACTATGAACTCAAAACGCTTCCAGAACCCTTATGAAAGACCCCTCCAGAACCATCACCAAACATCACGAAAATGTGCAACACTGTGTACCGCCAATAAAACCCTCACAGAACCGCTACGACAAAAAGAAAAACCTTGTACGACCCTTCAAAGAATCTATGTTGGATAACCCTTATACAAGCCTGAAAAAACGCAGAACACCCTCATCAGAACCATTATGAAAACAAACCTTGTAAAACCGTGTAGAGCCGCCGTACAGCTGTTATGAGGACATGTCGCAAACCATACGACAAACTAAACCCAAACCTGTAACCCTATAGGACCCAAACCTTCAACCCTAAATCGCAAACTCTGAACCCGAATGCACCCGAAACCCTGAGCCCTAAGACCCTTCAAAAAACTCGAAGCACGCGGCCCCAAGTCTGCACCCGAAAACTCCGTCTGAGCGCCTGAGCGCCCCAGCCCCGAAGGCCAAGTCTGCCACGGTCTTCGATTCCAGCTGCGCCTTTTTCTGGGGAGCTCTGCAGAGTTCAGGCTTTGGGGTTGTGGGCTAAGGGTTTGCCTGGCTTGGCTAAGTCGGCGTGGAGATCTTTCACAAAGCTTTTTTCGTACAAGCAGCTTTGAAAGACCTTGTCTTGGTGAGTCTTTTTAGGCTTGTCGCCCTCATACTTATGACTCATAAGTAGGGAGGTTCCGAAGATCAGGGACCCAAAAAATAGGGTCCCCTAAATAGTTAGTGGGATCCTTATTATATACCAGGGCCCCAAAATACGGTACCCCGTAATTTTCGAAAACTGACATGGCCCATAAAGACCCCCACGAAGCCCCAAACCCCAAACACTCAGAGAGGTCCTCGGAGACCCCCCCGGGTTTGGTCTTGGATTGCCCGGCGGAGCAGTAACTTCAAGATTCCCAGGTGTTGGCTTCGGGACTTGTGTGGCTTTACGGTAGTTTTGGGTTAGGCTTTTGGGCTTTGGGATTTTGGGGTTTAGGGTCAACGGTTGAAGGCTTCGAGGTTTAGGGTTTTAGATTAAGGGGCTCAGGTTTAGGTCTTGAGGGTTTAACACTTTAACTTGGGTTGAGTTGGGGGTTAAAGCTTAGGGTTGTGGTGGTTGGGGTTGAGTGCTGAGTGACCAGTTGCGACCACGGCGCAGGGACACAAGTGGGATTCCTTTGCGAGCCAAGTGTGACTCCCACCAGACATTGTCCTCGAGCTCCTGAACACAGTAGTCGGGCTTTCGGAGGGTCAAGGTTCGATGCCAGGACGTTGTCGGCAGAAGGGCCTTCCGCAAGGCTTTGAGCTTCGCTGAAGGTCCAGAGTTCTAAAAGGGGTTTGAGTCCTTTTCCCGCCACCTGTTGGTGGAAATGCTGGGATGGCAGCAAGGAAGCACAAGAACGAAACGCAAGTACTGGACACCAACAGGTGCAGAAAAGCACTTCTGTGCATGACATCTACTGCTTTCTGCTCAACACATCATGGCTCACAAGCTGCCTACGGAGAACATGCGTGAAGTCAAAGTCTTCAAACTGCTGGGTAGTTGGATGCCCTCCAAGCTCTGATTGAAGTCCTCGCCAAACGTCAAACTCTGCAGGCTGCTGGGTAGGTGGGTGCCATCCAAGCTCTGGTTGAAGTCTCTGCCAAACGTCAAACTCTGCAGGCTGCTGGGTAGTTGGATGCCCTCCAGGCTCTGCTTGAAGAAGTAGCCAAAAATCAAACTCTGCAGGCTGCTGGGTAGTTGGATGCCCTCCAGGATCTGGTTGAACCTGCCACCAAACGTCAAACTCTGAAGGCTTCTGGGTAGTTGGATGCCCTCCAAACTCTGGTTGAAGTCCTAGCCAAACGTCAAACTTTGCAGGCTGCTGGGTAGTTGGATGTCCTCCAGGCTCTGGTTGAAGTTGTGCCCAAACGTCAAACTCTGCAGGCTGCTGGGTAGTTGGATGCCATCCAAGCTCTGATTGAAGTCTCTGCCCAATGTCAATCTCTGCAGGCGGCTGGGTAGCTAGATGCCCTGAAATCTCTGGTTGAAGCTGTTGCCGAACGTCAAACTCTGCAGGCTGCTGGGTAGTTGGAAGCCCTCCAATCTCTGGTTGAACTTGCTGCCAAACGTCAACCTCTGCAGACTGCTGGGTAGCTGGATGCCCTCCAGGCTCTGGTCGAACATGGCGTCGAACGTCAAACTCTGCAGGCTGCTGGGTAGCTGGATGCCCTCCAAACTCTGGTTGAACATAGCACCAAACGTCAAACTCTGCAGGCTGCTGGGTAGTTGGATGCCCTCCAAACTCTGGTTGAACTCGTAGCCAAACGTCAAACTCTGCAGGCTGCTGGGTAGTTGGATGTCCTCCAGGCTCTGGTTGAAGTAGTGGCCAAACGTCAAACTCTGCAGGCGGCTGGGTAGCTGGATGCCCTCCAAGATCCGGTTGAAATTGTAGCCAAACGTCAAACTCTGCAGGCTGCTGGGTAGTTGGACGCCCTCCAGGATCTCGCCAATCGTCAAACTCTGCAGGTTGCTGGGTAGTTGGATGCCCTCCAAACTCTGGTTGAACTTAGCACCAAACTTCAAACTCTGCAAGCTGCTGGGTAGTTGGATGCCCTCGAAGCTCTGGTTGAAGTAGTAGCCAAACGTCAAACTCTGCAGGCTGCTGGGTAGTTGGATGCCCTCCAGGCTCTGGTTGAAGTAGTACCCAACCGTCAAACTCTGCAGGCTGCTGGGTAGTTGGATGCCCTCCAGGCTCTGGTTGAAGTAGTAGCCAAACGTCAAACTCTGCAGGCTGCTGGGTAGTTGGATGCCCTCCAAGCTCTGGTTGAACTCGTTGCCAAACGTCAAGCTCTGCAGGCTGCTGGGTAGCTGGATGCCCTCGAAGCTCTGGTTGAAGTCCTGACCAAACGTTAAAGTCTGCAGGCTGCTGGGCAGTTGGATGCCCTGCAAGCTGTGGTTGAACCTGTCACCAAACGTCAATCTCTGCAGGCTGCTGGGTAGTTGGATGCCCTCGAAGCTCTGGTTGAACCTGTCACCAAACGTCAAAGTCTGCAGGCTGCTGGGTAGTTGGATGCCTTTCAAGGTCCGGTTGAACTCGTAGCCAAAGGTCAAACTCTGCAGGCTGCTGGGTAGTTGGATGCCCTTCAAGCTCTGCTTGACGCTCCACGTGAATGACACGGTTTCGTTTAGGGCAGCAACATCTGTGTCGGACAACGTCTTCTCGTCGAGAAGGCGCTGCCAACTTCTTGCGGCTCGACCCGCGCCAAGCTTCTGCACCACGTACGTGATCTCTCCGTGCTGCACTTGACGCAGCAGCGGCTCGCGTTGATCGATGACGCAACCACCGGATGTCAGCACGAGTGTCTCTGCAGGACGGCCACTTCTGCTTGCGATGTGTTCCGCCACATCCCACCCCGTTTGGGCAGAGTTGACCTCCAGCTCAAAGCTGGACCCTGCCAGGCAATGGACGCTCACGGCCTGCTTGACCTGGTCCGAACCTGCCTCTATGGGCTGTGGGAAGCTCGAGATCATGCCACCTCCGGACGCATGCGGCTCCAACGGACCACTCGCACTGGTTTTATTCCCGGCGTGCGCGGGACCGGCAGCCGTGGCTTCTGCAAGTATTCGGGGTTGGCTGCGCTTGAAGACAAGGATGCGCAGCGTCACGCAAGTCTCCGAAGCCGCCGCTGGCTCGATCCCCTGCTCGACGTAGCCCCGACTGCGGTCTGGAATGGAAATCACCAGACTCGCCCTGTGGCGCTGCATCATCTGCTCGAGGGCTTGCCTGCCCAGCTCACCCATCGTCTCGCATTTTAGGTGAGTCAACGTCTCAATGCGATGAACTTCCATGGCATCGTGGGAGTACATGACAAAAATGTCGCGGAGCGCCCGTCGGAAAACCATCTCTTGTTCTTCGTTTCTGGTGTATTGGTGCAAGGAAACGAAGTTGTAGAAGATCCAAACTACTGAATCCAGCAGTCGGGGACGGAACTCCTCCACGATGGCATCCAGCTGGAACCTCGCAGCAAGGGCAGCAAGACAAGGTGGTGCGACATTAAACACACTGCGATGCGCAGATCTACCCCCTACAACACAGTCCCAGAATTATCCCACCCGAGCCCCGAACCTCCACGGATCCGGATGCTGCATGCTCTCCCACACGTGGCTGATGGAGACGAGGTGGACTTTGACCCGTCTGGGCTCTGGGTGCCGGAGCATCACAGACACGTGGCCTGTATGGGGGTCAATCCCCACTTCTTTGAGCTCGCTGCTCTCTACCAGCGCCGGCGCCCCTGAGCTTGTCGTCTCCTTTTCTGCCTCTTGACGGCGAGGTAACGGCCTCCCGGAGGCAGAGAGCTCGATCAGGTACTCGAGGCGCACCAGGCGGATGCAGGCATCTTCGAGGAAGCAGAGTAAAGATTCGGGCTTTGACAAGTCGTAGCTCGGCTCCTGTGCTGCGGATGCTGCAGCCATGGCCTTTGTGGCGGATCTAAAGAACTTGCCGGACTGCCTCTCTGGCTGTGAGCACAAACAGCTCTGTGCGGCGAACATGCATCATGCTGGCAAAATCGTCTTTAATGCTCAATGCCCGGCAACTGCAGACTGTCAAACTCAACTGGCTCCACGATGCTGGGAGAACCGCAATATTGGACAGGATAAATTTTTAAAGAGAAGAAAGAAACATTATACATGGTAGACACTCTCTTCATTCTAGCAATGATTGTGGGGCCTTTGGATGGCAGCGCGCGCTGCAGCGCACGCACGACCGCAGCTAAGCTGAAAATCCTGAGGGCACGCCGCTGGCTGGTTGTGGAGGATCCGGGGAGAACCGGGGCTGAGACTTTTGGCTACGGTTTAGGGTTTAGGGTTTAAGTGTTAGGGGGCTGGTCGTTTTGGCTTCAGGCCGTGCAAGCTCTCAGTCGTTTTGACGCTTCCGGTCTGTTTGGGTCTCGGGGCAGAGGCCAAGTTTGGGGTACATCGGGGCCTGCAGGAGAAATCAACAAGGTAGTCATCTTTCAGGGTTCACGGTCTTGGGGCCGAGGGGCCCATCGATCCTAATTTCTCCCCACAGCTGAACCCCTGAAACCTAAGTGCTCCCTCCCATGACTTCTTAAGCTCCAAAAACCCCGCAAGTCCTGGATGGAAGACCGAGCGTCCAAGAACCACTGTGAAAATCCATTTACGTCCAGTACTTTGAAGGGTTTTTCTTCAGGGTTGGGGCTTATAGGGCTTACGATTCAAGGACATCCATGACGCCTCGTACTTTAAAGGGCTTCCTTCCTGTGGTTTAGGGCTCAGGATGTAGGCCCTATAGGGTTTAGGTCTGGGTTTAGGATTTAGGGCCTAGGCGGCTTTGCGGTCTGTGGTTTAGGGCCTAGGCCTTGGAATGTCTGGCATACCACCGAAACCTGCTCCAATTATTCAGGCCCCTACGTTACGGGCTTGTAGAAGCACTTATGAACCCTCTAGAAAGACCCTTAGAGTAACCCGACTCTAATGATTAAGGCCCCCATATAATCATCTCAAGCCCGGCTGGGCCTCCTCCTGCCAGCAGTCTGTGTGGCCAGGCCTGAACGCCACATCCTTCTGGGCTTGTGGTAAGCAACATAACCTCACTAGATGGCCCTAGCATTTGATTCTGTCTTTCTGAGGGTTGAAGGGTGTCTTCTTGCACCCAAAGCTGATACAGCAAACAGAAACGAACCTAAGCTTGAAACCCAAACCCCAACATCCAAACCATGAGCCTCTTAATGCCAAACCCTGAGCTTAAAACCCGAACGCCTAACCCCTAAGCACAAAACGGAAAGGTCACTGGCTTGGTAAAGGAATCGTAATACCACCCAAAGTGCTCTACCAAAGCTCCCTCCCTGTTGGCCCGTCTGTCCTCGTACGCCGTCCGCAACAAGACGAAGTCGCCGTTGGCTCGCTCGAAGACGCTATTTAAGTAGATGGTGTTGTTTTATTGGGTTTACTAGGAAGCAGTAAGTCCGAAAACCTTTTCGAACACCGGATGATAATACCCAACACCGCAATGGAAAAGGATACACGTAGCATGTGCAATCCCAAGACCTAAACCCCAAAACCAGCCCGGCATACCAAACCTGAAGTCCCAGGACAGGACCACATTAAATCTCCAAATTGAAACACCAAGCCCCTAAACCCACTAACCCCGAAAGCCTAAAACACCAAGCGGGAAAGCTCCACGAACTAAATCCACAAACCCAAAAGCACAAATCACTACGGCCCTAAACCGCCGCATCGAGCAAACGCTCCCGCAAACTGCTGGTCTTTTTCCATTGTCTTCCGGCACCTGCAGAGGGGGATCCCAGTCGATCTCGGTGCTTTGCGCTTCCTCGTGCTTCCGAAGGAAAGCCCGGGCGAGCTCCTTGCAGTTCCGGCTGAGCTTTTGGGGGCTTCTTGGCTTTAGGAGTTCAATAGCTTCCAGGGTTTCGGGTGCTTTAGGGCTTTAACTCAGGGGTTGGCCTTTAAAATGTCATTTGCTTTCGGGTGGTTTAAGAGTTCATGGTTTAGGGTTTACGGTTTAGGGCTCGGAGATCAGGGCCAGCGGCGTCAAAGCTTGGGAGTTGAAGGTCTGGGGCTCGGCACTTTTCTGGCGTTTTCTGGGAATCCTGCTTCCCCCCAGACCGCGACCATTATTATGCTGTTGATTTGTACCTTAAACCCTAAACCCAAATAAAACCTCAAACCCTAAAAGCCCTAAACCCAAGACCCTAAATCCCAAACCCTAGAAACCGTGCAACGCTAAACACCCTGCAACCCTGAAAGCCCTACAACCCTGAACCCTCAAACCCTGAACCCCCAAAACCCTGAAACCCTTCAATTCTAAACCCCTATCCACGGTCCTCTTGAGCTCGCCGGTCGGGCACCTTCGTCGGGACGCCGATGGGCTCCTCCTCCGGCGCAAACCTGGGCTGGTCGACAGGAAAAGGCGGATTGGGGTTTAAAGGGACAACTATAGGGTTGAGGCGAACACGCTGCAGCTCACGGCTCAGCCCCATAAGAATATGAATGCGGTGTGAGATGCGGCAGCACTGGCGGAGGAGAGTCATATTCCTCCCGGCTTCAGCGTTCAGAGCTTGGGGCCGCTGAGGTAACCGCCTAAACCCCTAAACCATAAACCCCTAAACCCCAAACCCCTAACCCCCAAACCCCTAAACTCTAAACCCCTACACCCTGAACCCCTAAGCCCCTAAACCCCCAAACCCTAAACCCCTAAACCCTAAACCCCTAAAACGGGCTCTTGGACTTCAGGGCTTTCTGGCTTTCTTCGGTGCTCGGGGAGCCTCAGGTTGCGAGGAGGGGAGCCCCGTGCGCTTTGTAAACAAGAAAAAGCCTAGGATGCCCCTGGTTCCCCCATAGTTCCCCCTTCCTTTGCACCTAATATTGTGGCCTTCCAAACATTTCGAAATTGGGTTTTGGGGGGTATCTGCTGCAGTACAAACCCACAAATCATTACTAACTATTCCGAGAAGTATTTGATGGCTGTCCGGGAATACTACCACTGATAGTTCCAAGCCCCTTATTGCAAAAGCAGGCCCCGGCGGTCTCCTGGTAGCACTCCGGCACCTCGGAGTTCAGCCAAACGCGAGACAGACCGTAGCAGCCGATGGAGCAGCAGCCAACGATCTGCTGGGACCTTGGAACCCGCAAGGACACCCCGCACGCGTCCTTGTTTATCAGGCTTCAGGGATTCCTGCATGAGTTCTTCTATAAGGGTTGGAGCAGGAAACTGGAGAACCCGCAGGGCGAACTCTAGAGGTACAGAGTCGGCGAGAACAGTCACAGTCCATACCTGCGTTTTAAAGCCTGTCATTGTACATGACCCGAATTGATCCAGATCTCCATGCCTGCATGCTGAACAGTTGACGAAAGGAGACTCGATCATCGTAGTAATGAGAAATGCACTCTGGTACACCAAAACATGATGTCGAATGACATGTATGCCTCGCTTCCGTGTTTTCTACGGCACTGGTGCCAAAGGGTGGCCAATTTGTTCTTAGGCGTCAACACCCTGTCAAGCGTGCAACCTTTTAGTTTAGGGCTTTTGGGGGTTACGATTTGGGGTTTAGGGTTTATGGTTTGCGGCTTATGGTGTTGAACAGACTGGCGGCGTCGGCAGCGTGGCGTTGAGCGCTTGACAGATGTGCCTGGGAGCTGCGCAGCATCACCATAGCATAAGGCACCGTACTCTAGTACCATAGTTGATCCGATCAGCTATACTATCTTGCTATAGAGTAAAACAGTATAAGGTACTCTAAGATACTATACTCGTGAAGTTAGGGTCAATTCTGAACCTCGAAGAGAGTATGTCGCTCTCATCATGGGAACACTGAAGGGGGCCCTGATTTAATGAATGCCAGTGCTCACTGACGGCTTTAGGTCACGCCACATTGCTGGAGCTGCTGGACACTGGTAAACTGGGCACCTGAAGCTCTTAAGAACCCCACCAAGACCCCATGAAATCTTGTAAACACCCTAGGCCCTGTAGAATCCGATGAAGTGGCTTTGCTTGCCTGGCTTGGACCAGGGCTGTTAAGGCCAAGCGCACATCGGGAGAACCGGACCGTCGCCAAGAGGCCGACCGTGGGCTTGCCTACCCCAAACCCCAAAAGCCTAAAACTGCAAATCCGGACCCTGAGTCCTAAACCCCAAACGGAATCCTTTTTACTGGCCGGTCCCTTTACAGGCCACTTTAGGCGAACCCTTAAAGAAACTTCATGAAGCCCTTAGAGGTCCCCTTTGAAGGTGCACAGGCCTTGCATGGTAGAAGGTCGCCGAGCTCGAGAAGCAGTTGCCGATGGTCTGGCCGCGCAACTGCCAGGTGCGGTTCCTTCGCATCCGGGTTTATGGCTTGTGACTTTTAGGGTTAGGGGTTTGAGCTTCGGATTTAGGGGAGTTTAGGGTTCAAGGTCCAGGGTTCAGGAAAGTTGAGAGTTTAGGGCTTTAGAGATTGGCGTGGTTGCTTCGGATGGGTTGGGCACTTGGGGTCCTGGTTTTTGCTCGTTGCTTTTATGCCCTCTTTGCCTTAGGGTTCGGGTTGTTTTTTAGAGTTTCTGGATTAGGGGCTTGGAGTCCTTGATTGAGACGGCAAGAACACTGCCATGGGTTTAGCGAAGTGCGAAAGAATGCGCAACAAGTCTTGAGGAGTCCCTTGTGCCACAGCATGCCTGCTGCCATGAAGATCATGGAACAAAGCGTTAAATCTCTAGCCCCCCTGGCAGGGCCTACTGACCGATTGATCGGCTTCTGTATGAAACTTGGCCCTGCCAAAGCGCCCTAACTTAGAGAACTACCCGAATCGACCTGCAGCTTCTTCAGTTCAGCCGCATAAACCTTAAATCCAACAACCGGACGCCCTCAATCCCAATGCATGCAGCCCAGAAAAGCTACCTTCGTGTGATAACCTTTGAGGAACTTCCTAGACGAAGCCCCAAACATGTAGGGAAACCCAACGGCGGATCCTACCAAAACCTCAAACCCCTGAAGCTCTAACAACCCTAACACGCCAACAGCTCTAAACATTCGGATGGCAGACCTCGGCAGCAATGCAGAGAAGCAGAAGTTGTGTGCAGGGCTCCAGCCTGACTTGCACCATTAAAGGAGTCTTTAAGGCGTTTCGGTGGTTTGCAAGGCTTTAGGGGTTTGGTGTTCTGCCTGTCAGCCCGATGACTTCAAAATCCCCTAGACATCCTCTGCATCTCTGGAGTTAAGGCGTATTCCTTAGTTCAGGAATATAGGACTTCCGCTTTTCAAGCTCTCAGGTTTAGGCTTTACGGTTTGACGGTTCGGGGAAGGGATCGCGGTCAAACTCGACGGGAAAACGAACACCACTTTGGGCTTACAAAGGCTTAGGATGTACTGTACAGGTACAGATTTGATTAGGATAGAGATATTTGGCCCTTCCACTTGGGATTCAGTGTTTCGGTTTAAGGATACCGGGGTGGCCGGAGCCCTTGTAAAAGGATCTTTGCTGCGGCATGCAACTTGTGTGATTTCGGGTGAAGGGAATTCCTGCGGGCTAGCTCCCGCTTGCTCCTTCTTGTGCCACGTTATGGGGATAATATATCTAGCTCTTCAGAATCAGAATGAAGCTATTGCTCTGAAGCTTCTTCCTCCTTTTTAGTTAGAATAGGCTTGTTTCCAAGGGTGCTTATACGGTGTTGAAAATGCGTTTTGAAGACGAGCCGAAAGGCCGAAAGTCTAAACCCTCAACCGCAAGCCAGTTGCGATCAGGTCGCATGCCACGCCGGCATAGCCGTCTGCCCCGATCAGCTCCGTTCGCTCGCGCGGGTCGCCTACAGCTTCCAACAGAACAGCGTGTGGCAGCGCAGCATGAGAGTTTGGAAGCATGAGCCCTAAGCAGCAGACCATGAGTTCCGACGAATCTGAACAACTCCCCGAACCCTAACCCCGCCCCTCCCACCCCCCCCTCAACAAAAACAACAAACAAAGAGAACTGTGCCCCAAACCCCTAAACCCCGTTTGGCAAAGACTCAGGGAACCCAATACAACTTCAACAAGGATTCTTTAAATCATAGTGCTACATTCCTATTACTTCGATCATGAAACTAAGCCCCTTACAGTTTTAAGATACACTCCAACACTCCTCAATTCAGGGGTATACTTTAGATCATAAGCCCCTGATAGCGCAAGCTACCTTCCTGAAATCAGGGATCCTGGCTCTCTGAGAATAACGGATCTGGGCCTCCTCCCCAGCAGGTCGCCTTCAGGATCCACGCCTCCAGGGGCCGTCGTTTGGGGGAGTTCAAGGCTTAGAGTTTCGGGTTTGGGGGTTAGGGTTTGGGGCTTTTGTTTTAGGTTTCAGGGGTTCAGGGGTCTAGGCTTGCAGGGTTCGACGGTTTAGGGATCGAGTTTGTAGATGTACTGCTCGGGGTGGAGGACACAGTTGGGAGTCATTCGATGCAGGCATTGGGGGTTGCTGGGCTCACGGGATCGATGGCTGACATCTTCGGGTTTGGGGCTTCTGGCTTGGAGTTCCCAGTCTCGGTTTCGTTTCCAGGGCTGATGGATAGGCTTTACGGTTCGAGTTTACGGTTTGGGGCTTGGCGGCTTTGGGTCTAAGGCCTGCACCCTACGCCCTACACCCAAAGCGCTAGACTCGAATGCCACGCCTTAAGGACCCTAAGCCCCAAAATGCCGAAGATTGAAAAAGACCGAAAGACCTCGAAACTCTGTAAGATCCTATAGAGGCTTGTGATGCCCGAATACAACTACACGACGCCAATGGAAATCGTGGTAAAAGCACTCTAGAACAACTCTCTTCACAAGGGAGCCTGGAAGTTCCCGCAGGGCGGAAGCTCCGGTGCTCTCTTCGCCGGCGCCGCCGCAGACGCCGCACAGAACCTGAGGATTGGGGTTTTAGGAGATTCGGGCTCCTTCACCAATCCTAACTAAGGAGACCCTGAGAACATAGCATGAAAACAGCCCTTTGGCCTAAAGGCCGTTAAACGTGGTACGCTGCAAACAGGGTTTAGTCAGCGTTTAGGGCTTAAGCGATGCAACTTGAAAGGGCTTGTGGTAGCTGTGGGCCTTCCATGTCAGTCCTCGAAGGTCAGACCAAGAAGCTCCACGACATCAACCAGCGGGCGCCTGGATGCAGGAGCTCAAAATCTTAATCCACAACTGACAGTTTCTAGGGATTCTAGGACATAGCCTCGCAAACCTCGAAACCTCGAAGAAGCTTCCAAGCATTGTTTCAAGTCTTAAGGTTTTAAGCTAAGGGTTTCAGGGCTTTGGGTTGTAGTGATTATTGAAGGTAACAACTCCAAACAATTCGAAACCCCAGAACGCCGGAAACCCTGACAGCAACCCGATACCGTGCAATCAACACGGTCTCTGTCACCTCTCGAAACCCCCGAGCATCAAAAGACACGGCTGCATCCAAACTTGATTCGTACACTTCGTCAACGCCGCAAGAAGGTGATTTCATTCCACGCCTACATACACGCTTCTTCCAACTTATTCCGCCTGCTGCCCGCAGCGGGCCGACCCGGAGCATGCGGAGGCGCGTGGAGGATGGCATTGTGAGGAAGTTCGTTTGCAGAAGCCTGGCATCTTCGAGTTTCCGAGAGGTTTTGAGAAGCGGGGTTTAGGGCTCTCGAGATTGTTGGCTTCAGAAAATGGGATCTCCAAATATGAGAAGTACGGTGTTGCTGGAAGTCCTTATGACACCCTTATTAAACCCTTGATAACCCCTTGCTGAACCCCACTTCAAAAGCCTGGGAAACCCAAACATCGAAGAAGAAAGCCTATAACACCCTGAAGAAAAATCCTGGAGGAAAAGACCAGCAAAAAACCTATAGAGCCCATTGCACCGAAGAAATCCTCAAACCCAACCCTCACTAACCCCTATAGAGCCCAGAACACTGCAAACATCCTGAAAGACAAAGCTCTACAGACCCCAAATCTTCGAAGCAGAAACCCTAAAACGGTTCAGGTTTAGGGTTTAGGGTAAACCCTAAACCCTCAAAGCCCAAAGCCCCAAACTTTTCGAAGCACCCGGCCTTGAAGCTCAAAGGAGCTGGGAGGAAGGCCTCGTGGTCGAAGGGCTCGGACGAAAAATTTGCGGAGCGCTCCGCATCCTCAGTGAACTTAGGGCTATTTAGGGTCAAAGGGTTACGGTTGAAGGGCTTAGACGGGGTCTATCGGGGATCTATAGGGGATATTTCAGGGATCTAGATAGGGGTTTAGGGCTCTCGGGTTTCAGATTTTGAGGGAAAAGGGTTTAAGGATTTGGGGTGGTGGGCTCGGGATTTTGTCGGCCTGGGGATCTCTGGGAGTGGTTGGGTGTCGGGCTGGACATCCGGCCGGGCTTCTGTGGCTCGTGCCCTGGGATGCTGACAAACAACACAGAAGTTCTGCCACCTACTGCCTCGTAGGATTCATAATGGGCTCTAAAGCAATTCTTTCAATGATTCAAGCGTCAGACTCCGGGGCTTATGGCTGAAAAAGCGTAGGGGTAGAATTGAAGCTGGAGCGCTTGCGGCTTGAAGCGGGTCTCAGGTAACCTAACCTCCAAACCCAGAACCACCTGAAACCACATGCCCAAATCCTGAAAACCCAGAATGTTAACCCCACATCCTAAACTCTACAAGCGAAGTCCTAAACCATCCACCTGAGATGCCCAATCCTACACCCGAAAACCACAACTCCTAAACTCCTATCCTAAAGCTCTAATCGACCCTAAACCCACAACCCCAAGTCCTGAACCCACCAATCCCGTCATCCCGAGAAAGAAAGGGCCAACAATTTCCTGCCTGGGCTCGAGGTCGACCATCTGAGGCGACAGCGCGTGCAGGTAGTGCAACTGCACCTCTTCGTACTGGCCGATCAAACAAACCATGCAGAGAGCTTTAGGGTTTTAGGGTTTAGGGTTTAGGAGTTAGGGTCATGCTGTTTCTTGTTTGGTGGGGTCTTTGGCCGTCGGGTCGGAGTGGAATACCAGTTACTTTGTTCTGTTGTACCGGGCAGTATGATGATGCTGCTGACAGGATATGACAATCATTCTGCGCAGTAGTGGTAGCAGTATCCTCTGCAGGGCCCCCAATTTGTAGCTACAATACAACACGAAGGAACGACAGTAGCAAAACTTACATGACTTACATGACGGGATCCCGAAAACAGATTGCAAAGGACCCCCAAAGGATCACCAATTCGCAGCAACCTTCACAAAAATTGGAGACCCACCACAAAGCCCTCGACTTTAAAAAACCGTAACGACCACACCATAAAACCCTAAAAGCCTCCCTTTGTCAGAGTCATCAGGACACGCTGGCCTCGAGCCCGCCGTGGCGGCGCAGGTCTCGGCGCCAGTGCTGAAAGGCTCGGCCGGTGCAGGCGAAGAGGTAGTAGTGGTCCGCCTCCTTGGTAACGTTAAGGTTTTTTGAAAGGATTCCCACAAAAAGATTCAAAAGGAATGTGAAAGGAATCTTTAAGGTGGTTTTTGGTGGTCGGCCTCCTTCTGGGGGAACTATAGGGGGATTTTTTGAAAGGAGTCCAAGAACGATTCAGAAGGATTTTGCAAGGAATCTATAGGATGATTTTGGTTGTCCGCCTCCTCTTGGGGTAAGAAAGGCTTCTACAACGGTATAAGATTTCTGTCAAGGTTTTGAAGCGTCTCGTAGCGATGTTGCTGTGTTTCGTAGATCCAACGTCACCTCAATTCCCTTTATGATCGCCTGGTTATAGATCTTGAAGAGATTCCTTGCAGTATGGGTTCCTTATAGATCCCCCTAGAATCTCCGGAGAACCCCTGCAAGGAACCCGAAGCGAACATGATTCAAGGCCAAGGTGCCCACCAACTCACAAGCGCGACATGGCGGCTGAGCTCCTCACGACAAAGACTGGAGGCTGCTTTCAGGTGTCCCTTCCGCGTGCCCGTCCACGGCAAGCTTGTCATACTTTGTAGCAGGTTTCCCCTTTTTCAGGGATCCCAAACCCCACACTCCACGGGCCCTAGTGCCCAGCCCGCCAGATTTGGATAGTAATGTATCATATAATATAGACGTCGAACAAAAATAATGGGGTTGTGGGGATTATTGCAGCTTGGATGGTATAGTATAGTATAGCATAGTATAGTATAGCATAGCCACAACAAGGACCCGTATTGAATGGCACTGATACTTCTTCTGCAGCGCCCCACCCCGGAGGCCCTGCCATGTCCCGAAGTCGCAATGCACCGCACACTGCAACATGGCCGGACATCGCGTGCCCTTGCCTGCACCGTGCCCTGACCCCAGACAAAGAACGATTGTTCCAAAAACCCAGGCCCTCCAAGGAACTCTATACTCTAAAGCCTACCCAACAAAATTCAAGAAGAGCCTGTGCCTTGGACCCCAAAGGCTGAGGAAACCCCTCCTCCAACACCGCATTGCCGACCAGTGCCGCCCGAACCCTCCTGGCCATGCAGCATGCCCTTCGATGAACTTACATGCTTTATGGTGCCTCCCTCAACTGTCAGAATAAGATTGCGGCATATATTGTGCTGTAAAAGGGAACACTGGTCGAGTTTTTCGAACTCCTATACTAACCCACACAAAGAGAGCCCAAACCCTCAGCCCTAAGATCCTAAGCCCCTACGATCCCAAGCCCCTAAGATCCCCGAAACCCCTAAAAACCCTAAACCCACCTCAACCCTAAACCCTAAACTCTAAGATCTCAAAAAAGAAGGTGGGAACCCAGCCTGGGCCTTGCTGGCCAGAGCGAGGGACCCCAAAGGGCCGCCAGGGCATCGGTGCACGTGTCCAGGGCCGCCGCCTTTTTGGTGTACTCGGTGAAGGGCTTATGGGTTGTGTACGAGGACTTAGGGCTTAAGGGTTGAACGGGGGGTGTAGAGTTTCGGCTTTGAGGGGCTAACGATTAAGGGGTTCAGGGTTGTAGATTAAAGTGAGTGAGCATCTTTGGATTTTGAAAACTTGAGGGCACACGAATCCAGAACCTGGCTTAGTTCGGACCGTGGAGAGCAGGATGGTGTCCTGAAAGGGCCGGAACTCATCCTTTGATGCAACAGGATGCTCAGATGTTCGTATATCATGAACGAGCTTCCGCTACAAAGAGATCCCCATGAAAGAAGAGGCTGAATCACAGGGCCGGCAGGCGGTGCTGTGCGGATCCTGGCGGTCGAAGTGGTAGTAGTGGAATCCAGTCTTGTCCTGGACATGAAAGGGCCCTTGGGTGCAGCATGGGGGTGGTAGCGATCTGAGCTGCCCATCGCTTGCTTCGTCTTCGGACTCTTGGAGTTGTGGGATGTTGGAGTCCTTGATTTTATCTTCAAGAATCATCGATGATGATGATGCTGATGATAATGATCGTTTCATTAAGAGGAGGAGGAGGAGGCGGCGGAGGAAGCTGTGTTGTCCCGTTCTTGTTCGCCTTGGCACTTCGAATGCTCGGTATTTTTAGACTAGTACTCTTGACGCAAACTGGATTAGCAACGTAAGGACTATCTACTGAATACTGTTGACCCCGAACCCTAAACTACTCTAAACTTCAAGAAGTCTGTGACGAATGATTCAGTGACCCATTTCCATGAAGGAACCCTGAAAAGAAAGTCAAGGAATCCTAGAAGAACTCCGAAAAAGATTCCCTAAACCCTAAACGGAACTCAAATTTGCAGGCCCCCTCATGTCTCCTCGGAGCTTGTGAGCGCTCCAGCCCCGAAGGCCAGGTCCGCCACGGTCTTCGCACCCAGCTGCGTCTCCCTCGGAGGTTCATAGGGTTCCCGTTAAGAGTACCTTGAAGGTACTTTAAGGGTTCCTTTCAAGGGTCTCCCTGGAGAGCTGTGAAGGGTTCTTTGAGGGTTTGGGATTTATGGGTCCATATCCTAAGTGCTTAAGGGATTTGGGCTCAAGAGTTGAAAGTCATCAATTTGGGTTTCGGGGTTTCTGTACGCGTTTGTTCAACGGCTCCACGGAGAGCTCCGTGTGGCGTTTTATTACTTAAACTGTGGCTTCTCTAGGGCTTTACAAGCATCTTTGTGTGAAGGCTTTTGGTGGGTCATGTAGGCTTTCGGCCTCGTGAAGCCCACCAAAGCCCTGACCCCAAACTCTAGACTGCAGGGGTCTTCAGAACCGAAAACAAAGCCCTGTCGAGTGTTGGATTGGTTGGCGGACAAATAACTTTGAGATTCCTAGGTGACGGGGTCGAGATGGTAGACATCGGGCGGTTGATTGTGAATGGATTTAGGCTTCAGAGGTAACGCTTAGGGTTTTAGGGTTTTAGTTGAGGTCGGTTTGGTTTTAGGCCTTAGGGTTTCTCTGGTGCTCCTTTCTACAGGCATGCCCTGGACTTTCCACGGCCGAGGGTGGACCAGTTGCGACCATGGCGCAGGAACACTCGTGGGATGCCTTTGCGAGCCAAATGTGACTCCCACCAGACATTGTCCTGGAGCCCCCGAACACAGTGGTCGGGGGCATAGGTTTCAAGTTCCGGATTCAATTGAGGGGCTTACATACAAGAACTGGCGTCAACGAGGTTGCCGTTCGGTGGCCCTTACGGAAGGTGCATTGCTTCAGCCACTTTGATGAAGGGACTCCTGGATGACTCGCAAATCCGGCGTCCTGCATCCTCTCCTCCTTGCACCAATCTTAAATACCCAAAGCCTCAACAGCCTGATGGATCTGTCGAACTGACGGGGGTAGCACGTGTTAGTCGACAGGCTGAGATCTCCAGCTTGGGCCTGGGGTTTTCGGATCTTCGGGTTTCAGGCCTGAGGGGCTGCAAGCGAGGGCGAGGGTTGACAAATATACAAAACCCGTTGCGCACCATGCAGCCCCTGGAAAGGAGGCCGGGCATCCTCGATCATGCACGATGCGAGGACGTAGTCGGCAGAAGGGCCTCCCACGATGCTTTGGGCTTCGCTGGAGTATAAACTGTTGGGTTGACATCAAGGATGCAAAAGAACGAAACGCCAGTACTGGATGCCAACAGGTGCAGGGAAGCACTTCTGCACATGACATCAGCTGCTTTCTGTCTAAAGCATCAAGGCTCACAAGCTGCCTACGGAAAACGAGTATGAAGTGAAAGTCTTCAAACTGCGGGGTAGTTGGATGCCCTCCAAGCTCTGGTTAAACATAGCACCAAACGTCAAACTCTGCAGGCCGCTGGGTAGTTGAATGCTCTCCAAGCTCTGGTTGAAGTCTCTGCCAAACGTCAAACTCTGGAGGCTGCTGGGTAGTTGGATGCCCACCAAGCTCTGGTTAAAGTCTCTGCCAAACGTCAAACTTTGCAGAGCGCAGGGTAGCTGGATGCCCACCAAGCTCTGGTTGAACATAGTACCAAACGTCAAACTCCGCAGCCTGCTAGGCAGCTGGATGCCATCCAAGCTCTGGTCGAACTTATCGTCAAACGTCAAACTCTGCAGGCTGCTGGGTAGTTGGATACCCTCCAAGCTCTGGTTGAAGTCTCTGCCAAACGTCAGACTCTGCAGGCTGCTGGGTAGTTGGATGCCCTCCAAGCTCTTGTGAAAGATAGCACCAAACGTCAAACTTTGCAGGCTGCTGGGTAGTTGGATGTTCTTCAAGCTCTGGTCGAAGTTTCTGCCAAACGCCAAACTTTGCAGGCTGCTGGGTAGCTGAATGCCCTCCAAGCTTTGGTTGAAGTAGTAGCCGAACGTCAAACTCTGCAGGCTGCTGGGTAGTTGGATGCCCTCCAAGCTCTGGTTGAACGTAGTACCAAACGTCAAACTCTGCAGGCTGCTGGGTAGTTGCAAGCCCTCCAAGCTCTGGTTGAAGTCTCCGCCAAGCGTCAAACTCTGCAGGCTGCCGGGAAGTTGGATGCCCTCCAAGCTCTGGTTGAAGTCTCTGCCAAACGTCAAACTTTGCAGGCTGCCTGGTAGCTGGATGCCCTCCAAGCTCTGGTTAAAGAGAGCACCAAACGTCAATCTCTGCAAGCTGCTGGGTAGCTGGATGCCTTCCAAGCTTTGGTTGAAGTCTCTGCCAAACGTCAAACTCTGCAGGTTGCTGGGTAGTTGGATGCCCTCCAAGCTCTGGTGGAAGATAGCACCAAACGTCAAACTTTGCAGGCTGCTGGGTAGTTGGATGCTCTCCAAGCTCTGGTCGAAGTTTCTGCCAAACGTCAAACTCTGCAGGTTGCTAGGTAGTTGGATGCCCTCCAAGCTTTGGTTGAAGTAGTAGCCAAACTCCAAACTCTGCAGGCTGCTGGGTAGTTGGATGCCCTCGACGCTCTGGTTGAACATACTACCAAACGTTAAACTCTGCAGGATACAGGGCAGGTGTATGCCATCCAAATTCTGGTTGAACTCTCCGCCAAGCGTCAAACTTTGCAGGCTGCTGGGTAGTTGGATGCCCTTCAAGCTCTGGCTGAAGTGGTACCCAAAAGTCAAACTCTGCAGGCTGCTGGGTAGCTGGATGCCCTCCAAGCTTTGGTTGAACCAGTCGCCAAACGTTAAACTCTGCAGGCGGCTGGGTAGTGGGATGCCCTCCAAGCTCTGGTTGACGTTCCATGTGAGTGACACTGTTTCGTTCAGGGCAACTACATCTGTGTCAGACAGAGTCTTCTCCGCGAGAAGGTTCGCCCAACTCCTCGCAGCACGACCGGCGCCAAGCTTCTGCACCACGTACGTGATCTCTCCGAGCTGGACTTGATGCAGCAGCGGCTCGCACTGATCGATGACACAACCACCGGATGTCAGCACAAGTGTCTCTGCGGTATGGCCACTTCGGCTTGCGATGTGTACCGCCACATCCCACCCCGTTTGGGCAGAGTTGACCTCCAGCTCAAAGCTGGACCCTGCCAGGCAATGGACGCTCACGATCTGCTTGGCCATGTCCGGACCTGCCTCTGCGTGCTGCGGGACGCTCAAGGTCTGCTCCACAGCGCCTCCGGAGGCATGCGGCTCCAACGGACCGCTCGCACTGCTGTCCCCAGCCTGCGCGGGGGCTTCTGCAGGCCTCGGGGGTTGTCTACGTTTGGAGATGAGGATGTGCAGCGTCACGAAAGTCTCCGAGGCTACCGCTGGCTCCATCCCCTGCCCGACACAGTGCCGACTGCGGTCTGGAATGCTAATCAGCAGACTGGCCCTGCGGCCCGTCATCATCTGCTCCAGGGCTTGCCTACCCAGTTCACCAATCGTCTCACACTTGAGGTGCAGCCGCTCCAAGTGATTGCACTTCTCCTTGGACAAGTCGGCCGCAACAGGTATCGCATCTTCGTCCCGCACATTCTCGCACGCAATCTCGACGTTGCAGGCCCCGGATTCCACCACTCCCAAAACCGCTTTCCAAGCATTCTCCGGGCTTCCCATGATCACGAGCTCTTTGAGCTTGGTGTAGAAAGGCAGAGCTGCAGATAGAACGGCGATCTTGTCCTCATCCAGGTTTTCGATGAGGAGTTTGGTGGTGGACGTGGCCTTCTGGACGAAGACCTTCGCCTGGAGCATGAAAACCTCCTCCGAGTCCTCCCTGTGTGTAAACTTCATCTGCTGCATCCGTGCCCGGAACATGTCTGGCGGAAGGGGCACCGGATTTTCGCCCTTCATCCATGTCCGCAAGGCTGACCACTCCTTCTCGGACCGGCACCAGCCCCGGTGCTCGTAGGGCGTCTCGTTTCGCTTGAGTTTAGTGATAAGCACATCCGTCATCTTCTGCTCCTCCTCCCAATACACGCAAATCTTGGGTCCGTGAGCTGCCACACACCTTTGTCGCACGTTCTCCGGAGTCAGCATCTCGATCCGATGGACTTCCATGGCATCGTGGGAGTACATGACAAATATGTCGCGGAGCGCCCGTCGGAAAAGCATCTCTTGTTCTTCGTTTCTAGTGTATTGGTGCAAGGAAACGAAGTCGTAGAAGATCCAAACTACTGAATCCAGGAGTCGGGGACGGAACTCCTCCACGATGGCATCCAGCTGGAACCTCGCAGCAAGGGCAGCAAGACAAGGTGGTGCGACATAAAACACACTGCGATGCGCAGATCTACCCCCTACAACACAGTCCCAGAATTATCCCACCCGAAGCGCGAACCTCCACGGATCCGGATGCTGCATGGTCTCCCACATGTGGCTGATGGAGACGACGTGGACTTGGACCCGTCTGGGCACTGGGTGCCGGAGCATCACAGACATGTGGGCCGTATTGGGGTCAATCCTCACTTCTTTGAGCTCGCTGCTCTCTACGAGCGCCGGCGCCCCTGAGCTCGTCTTCTCCATTTCCGCCTCTTGCCGGCGTGGCAAAGGCCTTCCGGATGCAGAGAGCTCGATCAGGTAGTCGAGGCGCACCAGGCGGATGCCGGCATCTTCGAGGAAGCAGAGTAAAGATTCGGGCGTCGACAAGTTGTAGCTCGGCTCCTCTGCTGCAGATGCTGCAGCCATGGCGTTTGCAGCGGAGCCAAAGAACTTCCCGGACTCTCTCTGGCTGTGATCAGAAACAGCTCTGTGTGGCGAACTTGCATCAAGCTGTCAAAGTCAGGGTTTGGGGCTCAATGCTGGGAGCTGAACAAAGATGACTTCGACGCTAAACTTCCGAAACCCTCACCAAATGTGCCCAAGATGCAGCGACTAAAGCAATATCATACATGAAACAAGGAAACATATAGGATAGTAGGAAGTCTCTCAATTACATCAAAGATGACGACGCCTTTGGATGGCAGCGCACGTTGCAGCGCACGCACGGCCGCTGCGAAGTTGAAAATCCTGAGGGAGCGCAGCCTATTAGGAGTTTGGGGCGCATGAGGGGCTACAGGAGAAATCTTGGTACTGAGACCGAACCTGCTCAACATTCCTAACCATCACGGTTTCAGGTTTTAGGGGCAGGGGTGTATCGGTTCCCTAAACCCTAAAAAAACAAGCCCCTCAACGTTAAACCCCTAGGCCCTAGACGCTACCTGCACCCTAAGAAACCTACCTCTTCAGGCTCTTTGATCTGATTTCCTGAAATAAAACCTTAAAAGGTAGGTCGTTTGGGGTTAAGGTAAATCCCCCAAGTCCGGATGCGTTGTGAAAACTTAACTGCGCACAGGATTTGATTGGTCTTCCTTTAAAGAGTTCCTTTAGGGGTTCTAGACTAGGTCTTACTGTAAGAGGTCTATGATATTGGAGGCTTAATAGTCAGAAGGCTTTGGATGGCTTTGGACTGAGATTCTGGAGCTTTCACATCGCTGGCTATCCAGACTTCGGCATTCGTGTAAACCCTGAATCCTGAATGAGAAAATCCCTTTTCTTTAGAGCCCCTAACGACCCCATACTCTGACCCGACATCCTGAAAGCCAAGTCCTGTAGACCCTCCACATTGACAAAGCATAAACCGAAACTCCAAAACTACTAACCGCCATGAAAAAACGCAGAAAACCTTTCATGTTCGATGGCCGAGTCTCCCATGATCGAAAAAACGACGTTGGTACAGGATGCCATAGGTCGTATGGATCCTAGGCAGGATGTGTTCGGCCGTGTTGCGGGGGCTTTTGGGGTTTTGCAGGTTTGCCAAAGTCCTCAGCCCCGGAACGAAAGCCTTATGGACCTTGCGATGTTGTATGGCTTTGCAGCTTTGTGCCTGTGTAGACTCAGACTTTGGTGCTTTGAAGGTTCAAACATCCACTTTTGGTGATTCTTCACTTCAGGGGTCTGTTCTAAGGCTGAACGGACCTCCAGGACGAGGACACAGGGATTCCCGGGTGTAGGGTTCGCAGGTTAGGGTTTGGCAGTTGCGGTTTGGATGATTGCAGGGTTTGTAACAGCATTGGTTTCGGGGCACTTTGGGAACAAAGTTGTAACTTTCGGGTGTTCACTATCACAAACTTCCCCGAAGTCACGCCAGCACTTGCGCCATAGATACGACACCCTGAAACCCATCTGCCAAGGAAATCCCCCACCTCTAGACCTTACCTTACCCAACCCTACCCTACCTTAGCCCAAGGTGCAGGTTCGGAACGGCGCACATGCCACGGCTGTTGTGCCTGGAGAGGAGCCCGAAATCTAAAGGACATGAAAAGGTGCTGTGGGTTTTGGGTGTCATTAAATAGCATAAGGAGCTACTATAGGGGCCTTCATAACTAGAATACGGTTTTGGGCCCCTATGTTAAAGGGTTTAGGGCCAGTACAAGTTCAGGGTTGAAGGTGTGGGCACGTCTCCAGGTTCTGCAGTTTGGGGAGCCACCCTAAACCCTAAACCCACCCCCGCGCACTTGAAGCAGGCGATGCCGGGCCGGTGGTAGCTGCCCGCCCCAATCCTCGGAACCGAAGCTTTCCTGCTGCACGACTGAGGCTGAAGATTATGCAGGCATTTTGAGTGCTGTGTCTTTCTATTGAAGGGCTTCGGCCATCTACCAGCAGCCCGCTGAACCAACTTCTGCACTGCAGACCACGAGAGAGGTTTTCGAAAGCTTGAAGCAGCTGCCTTTGCCCTGCCACGCAGAGCCCGAACTCATGAACCCTCAACTCCTCAACTCCTCAACTGCACCTGAACGTGCTAGAATCTACTTTTCCCCCTACAGCTCCGTCTCCCGAGCTCGGCCGTAACCCTAACGAGAACATGCTGCGCATGGTGCTTGCTTAAGGCAGAGCCTGGTAAGAATCATAATCAGCTTTCAGGGTGCCGAAGGATAGGGAAACCTTTTGAGGGGAATTGCAACACGGATCCCACTATCCGACAAAAGAGTCTCCCTGGCTTTCTTTCACTCCCTTCGGCTTCATGCAGCTGAGCATCATGGATCCTGGTATATCGGCGCTGATGGACAGCAGCTGTTGGAGCAGCAGTGGATGGTAGATCTGATCGTCATCCACCATGAGAATACCTAAGCCCAGAGGCTAGAGGATATGAAACGATCTGAGCCCTTGCAGGGCACACTGCCACTCCTACTGTTCGCCAAGTTGTTTCACACACATATCTGGATCTGTCTTTGGTATACTACCAAAGGCATTTCTGTAGCATCTGCACCGGAGAACATGACACTCGGTCGTGCTGCTCTCGACTTTCAAGCCCCAACATGTTTCGAAAGCTCGTTCACCACAGCAGTGCGGAGCTGCACCGAGCCTTCAATAGCCATACCCGGATGGCTACTGCTGCCTCTTGCTTGAGCTATTCTCTCGCAGCATTTCCCGGCCAGCTTTGGACAGATGGTGCTCTGGCTTTCGGGTTTCGGAGATATATCCCTTTTGGTAGCCCGTATAGAACCCTTTTGGAACTTGTCAATCTGGCCCAAGGCGCGGGTGTCTGGGTCCAGCTCGTACTGCAGGATGCAAAGCAAGCCCGTGTTACTGCGGAAGTCTTGCTCGCAGCGCAGCACGTGCACGATGGGATCCAGAAACTCGTACCACCAGGGATGATTGTACCTTGGCATCTTCCAGATTCTGAGCTTACAGTTTCATGAAGCTTGAGGCTTTAAGGCCTCTGGGGAGCCTAGAGCCTTTCGGGTTTAGGATAGGTTTGAAGGGTCTCGAAGGGTCTCGAAGCTTTCGAAATTGAATTGTAGAACAGAGCCCTCAGCCCGAGCCACGAGGACCAGCTGCGCGCGAAGAAGTAAGGCACCGAGAGGTACCTCAGATAGCCCGGGGAGGGGACTAGGGGTTTAGGGTTTAGGGTTAGACCCAAGGGTCCAACTGTCTAGGAAGGAAGCCTTGAACCGCAAAATCCTAAGGGCCCAGAGGGTATGAAGGCTTCCGCATTGGACTTTCAATCTTCAACAGGGCGTCGGATCTCGCAGATCAAAGGTTTGCAAAAAAAGGCTGGCTGGGGGGTTAGAGGCCGCTTCTCTGTCTTTTGGGGTGGGGGATGGGGTGGTTCAATAGTCGAGAGATTAGGGTTTAGTCAGGTTTGGTGTTTAGGATCAAGGAAGAGCCCCTCAACACCTGCAGCAAAAGCGACTGGCCCGATCCTTCAGGAAGCCTTCGGCAACCCGCCTGAACCTTCAGCAATCGTAGTGGAAGCTGACGAAAGCCTCAAGAGGCCCGAAACCCGATCTCCTCTAGATCCGACGGCCTGAAACTCAATCCATATCAGTCCTGAAGTCGAAAAACTGTCTGAACCCCGCGAAAGCCCCCGGACCCCCATAACCCAAATACTTTGGGTACGGCCCCCATACGGTAAGAGTCTATAATAGGGCTACTATTAAGGTCCTAATACATCTATATTATGAATATTATTCAACTATTACTGAGTGGGGGCCGTACCTAACAAATACTCTCCAAACGGAAGCAAGTTGGCACTGCATCGGGCTTCCTCGACTGACGGACCAAGGACTTCAGCACCTGCCAAGACGGCCCACACTGCCCCACCAAACAAAACCAGGGATTTAGTTTAAGTTACCAAAATCAGGAAACCATATTACTTACGATAGATCCGTAAGATGGTAACTTAGATGAGATTCCTTAACAAGAACCCAAACTAAACACCAACAGCAAAGTCTAACTCGAAGTCTTCTACTCAAACCCTTGTGGTTGAGCCTGGGTTCCGTGAGAAAGAACATTCCTTCAGTTAGGGTTTAGGGATTAAGGGTTTAGGTGTTAGGGATTCGTGTAAGGTTTAGGGTCGAAGGCTGCCGGGCTGCGTTTGAAGAACTTTGAAGCTATGGCCATAAAGCCTTCTTTCTGCACAGCTCCCACATCGTTACCCCAATCTTTGACTCCGCAAACATACAAAGACCTCGGCAAACATTCACCCGAAACGGCCCTAAACCCTAAACCCTAATTGCCTCGAACATGAAACGCCCACAGGCCCCGAACTTCAAGCTTGAAGACCCTGCATCCCTCTGACTGTTTGCTCCTCCCACCTCCTTCAGGTCGTGGACCCTGGCAAACAAGCCGTGGAGGGACGCTCAAAGGCGGATGCCGGGCTTACAAAAAGGAATTAAGGAGCACTGCACCTGCAGCTGTGGGCTGAAGGCTTGCTGTTTTGTTGAAGGAGTAATGGGGTTGAGGACAGCAGACTCTGAGGAGCCCCCAGTGCGCGAAACGAGTAGCGAGTGCCGGGCGACGACAAACTGCACCATGGCCGCGGCTGAGCGTGCAAGTTGTCTGAGTACCAAAGAGATCATGGAGTTTGGGATTCAGAGCCTCCCAGAGGACCGAAACATACAGCGACGCTCAAGACCCGTTCACACACCCAAACACTGCCCTTTAAAGCCGGAGAGCATCCCCACAACCAGCAGCCCGGCCTCTGCGGCATCGTGGTCACAGCCACCACCGCCCGGAAGCCATACTGCGAAGGCGGGGGGCTGGCCTGGCCGGGATCTCGAGACTTCTAGAAAGCTTCGGGATTTCAGAATTTCGCTGCAGGTTTCTATTACTATTAGGGTTCGATCAGGATTTAGTGCAACGGCCTCACGATAAGAACAGGGCTTTGAACTAAAAACAGTTCAGCCCTTGGGGTCCAAAGATGTTCTTGTGCTTTACTTACCTTTGGTTAGTAGGGAATGGAAGAATGGTAGTACTAGTAGTTATATCAGTTATAGTTGTACCCCAAAGGTAAGTTTAAACTTGCACAAACGGTTTGGGCTTTGGGGCCGGGTGCTTTCCGGGAGGTCGGGACTTGGAGTTCCGATCCTGGGACCTTGGGGCTTTCGTTTCGGGCCAAAATCCCGAACACCAAACCGTATACCCGGAAATGGCCTTCAGAACACCCATCCACCGTGAGCGGGTTCTTCCTTGCAAAGCGCCACTAAGGACATGTATATAGAATACACCAAAACCGTTAAGCCATGAGCGAGCTAAGACTCTTTTACTCAGAGGGCTTGGGCACAATAGTCAGCGGTATATAGTACACAACATGATGACTGTACACGACCATACAAACTCCTACGCAAGCTGCGATGCAAAACTACACCCCCCTCACCTAAAGGCACGGTCACTGCATCCAAAAACACAGCATACCTTCGCCTGCAGGTGGAAGAGCGCTTCGGCTCGGAGTTTGACGATCGGCGTGGAGTTGCCTCCCGCGTCATCAGTTCAGCAAAAGTACATGTGACTATCGTGTGCCTCGAGGAAGGGTGCGAAAAACTGCATGCAAGCTTTTCTTCAAATGCAAGACGCTGGTTTCAGCGTGGAGCAAGGATGATAGGAGTTCGCCGCACAGCCACTTGAAAAATATCACAGGCCGGGTGAACGTCCCTCTTGCTCGAAAGAATCAGACTACTGGGTCGGCTTATTAGTTCCAACGCCATCCGCGATTGCGCCACTCACGCCAGTCCTGGTTGTCCCAGTTCTGGCCGCTCCATGTTCCCCAGGATGACGAAGACCAGTTCTGCCACCAGGATTGATTATCCCAGTCCCAGTCGCGGTTGGTGCGATCGGCGGCCTCGGCGTTAGCCGGGCTTTTGCCTTTTCCCTTCTCTGCTGCTCGGGCATATGTAGAGCCCTTGCCACCACCTGGCGGATGCTGCTGGGCATACTTCGGCTGGGCAGCACGACTTTGATTGGCCTTCTTGATGGTTTCCTCAACCGTCTCCACCATGAAGGGTAGGTCCTTTGCCAAAACGGTCTGTAGGTCCGTACCCACTGCAGCGGGATCGTAGTTGAGGAAATCCACCTTGCTGTGGCCAAAAGTCTGTAGACGGATGCCCCCCTTTTGCTTGGCGATGTTGTGAGCGAAATCTTGGAACGAAAGGATGGCTCCGTACCATGTAAATGCTACTGGCGTATCCTCCGGCGTGGACGTTAGTCCCGCTGCGCACAACTTACCGCCAATGCCATCGTCTCCGGTAAAGAAAACGATACGACACTCTGGAACCTCGTCCGTGCGGGTCTGGTGCGTGGAACTCGCCGCTCTGGAGGATCCAATAGCCAGCATGCGTTGCGATCGAGTGCGGCCAGGGTTCGGAAGGTAGGCGAAGCAGAGGCAGTCGAGGGCACGGATCGTTCTGCGTGTGTATCCCTCTTTGGCCATTGAAATTGCGTATTCATTGTCATGATTGAACCTCGCTACGCAATCAGTGTAGCCCTTTTTCACGGCTCTCTGCTTTGCCACTTTGGCTTTCCGAATAACCTCGCCTTCTAAGGAGTTCATGCCACGGCCGGCGACATCTTTCGATGCGCTTTGAAGGCTTGGCCTCACTCCCACTCGTTCAGCGGCATCACCCATCTCCTGAAGCAGAGCTTCACGCCCACGTGCCAACAGCGTCCGTCTGCCCTGTGCCTTCAATTGACCTGGTCGAACTGGCCCTCCGCATTGAGAGCAAATCCTTTGGCCTTGAAGACACTCAGCTTTGCAGTGGTAGCATTTGATTTTCTCCAAAAACGGGCGGATGGCTTGGTCTCACTACCAGCATAAAGTACTGGTTCTGGTCTTCCCACCGGCTCCTGGATTGCTTCAACTGGTGTACCCTCAGCATCCAGCGTCACCGTTGTCGCCATTCCGTCACCAATGTACACAGTCCTGATTGGAGGACCCGGCTGTGCAATGATGGTGCCTGGTTCAACAAGCGGCCTCTCCTCTACGGAGGGCATTTGCTCATCATCAGGAGCTTCATCGTCGTCAGCCTTTGCAGGGGCATCGGTGATAGCCAACGATCCCTCAAGTACATCAGCGACATCTGGAATGGGCGGTAGGGATGTTTCCTCAGCTGGAAGGGTACCATGTTCTTCATCAATAGGCGGTGCGAAATTGTCCTGAGTCGTCTCCTCAGCCTCGGGTTCATCAAGAACGATATCGATGCCGGCCTCAGCGTTAGCTGGGCTTTCACCTTGTTCCGCCTCATCAGGAGGGACAGCGCCTCCCGCACGGGACCAAAGTGTGACATCGCGTTGCGTGTCATTGATGAACAAGATGGTCGAGCCGGGGACTGCCTCGGAGCACAGTATGCCATCAGACTCCGTAAGGAATAGGTCGCAGCCAGCTTCGAGGACCTCCCGGGTGTCAAAGACGATCTCAATCGGTGCGTTTGCACGAAGTCCTGAACGTACCTTTTGCTCTTCGAGCGGCAGCGGCGCAAAATAACAATGCGCCTTCTCAGAACCTCCAAAACCAGGCAACAAACGATCTTCCAGAATCGCATACGCCGCATCATGTGTTGTGCGATGATAGAGTCTGGGCGGCGCCTTGTCAATCGGGATCAACGGCCTGCCCTCTCGGGCGGCGTTAGCCAGCTCTTCAGAACGCTGCAGTGTAAGATATGCCTTTGCAATAGAGGCATTGTCGAGCTGCAGATTGCTGGAGTGGCCCTGCGTACTACCGACGTAGACCGGAAAAGCCGGTTGGCCAATTGCATCGGCAGCACTGTCCATTGGTCCGCGAAACATAAGGCGCTGTTTGTTGTCGGTGGCGATCATGTCGAGGAGAATTCCTAAACCAATGTTGCTTCCAGGTCTGCATCTGTTGGCAACCTCAAGCACTTCCATGGCTAGGACCCACGGCCCGTCCCACGACTGCATTTTAAATTGATTACCCTTGTTCTCGAAGTTGCCCCTGATCAGCCCAGTGACAAACGTGACCATCTTGTGGTCACACTGGGGGTAATGCAGGCCAGGAGTCATGTCCTTTTGGAACACTTCGATGTACTGGACGGCCTCCTCTTGCGAGGGGCATTCATTCCAGTAATCGTACAGGGTAATGCCAGTCATCTCGGCGAAGTCGTAGGTGTCATTCATGAACCTCATTCCGCGCGATCCCTGCACTGCGAGCTTGGTCAATCGCTGCTTGTCGGCCTCAGCCTTTGCGAGGCGAGCTCTTTTTGCAGCGTGCTCGGTGCCAGAGTCGCCAGACAGAATGCCTCCACCATAAATGGATGCGTCGATCGGCATTGGTCGAATATCGCCAGAAGACGAAGCTGCAGTACTCGCCGGGGTAACGGCCTCCACCTTAGGTGGGGCTTTGTTCCATTCCGGCGAATTGATCTCCTCTTCTGTTGCGAAAACACCAGGTGCGACGCTGATGACATTCTGAATCTTCATCTCCTTGAGGAAGTCGGGGACCTCAGGCGCAGGCAGCTCGGCGTGACTTTCGTCACGCTTCTCCTCCCAGTATGCATCGTCTCACGGATCCTCCTCCGTTGGCTCCGCCTTCACTTGTTTGCTCCTAGACATCTTCGCCAGAGTAATCTGTAACACCTGATTATCAATGGCGTAGCGTCCTCGAGAATCAAAATAATTCTCAGCGAGCAGCGACTTGAAGGCATCCTCTCCCATCTTGGCGATGGCCCTGGCAGCATACCTCTCAGCAATCTGAATTTGCATGATATGCGCCAGCCCGGAAACCATGCGACGGCGAGACTCGGAGTCTTCGCGGAAGTGGACGTTGTCGTTGTAGAGCGCCAAATCTCCAAGGAAGGGGTGGATGTCACAGGCGGCGAGTCCTCTACGGACCGCTTCGTCCTTGAATCGCGCAATGCATTCATCAAACTGCTTTGGCAACCCGTAGACGAAGCTGCGAATTCCTGTGCAGATCACAATGGACCCCACATATGGAGAACGGCGCTGCAGGTCTGCAAGCGCTTCAAGGTTTTGGCAAACTCTCCGACAGATCTTTTGCCAATCTCCGCGGGCTTCTATGGGCGATTGATGGTCCCACCACGTCGGGACGCCGGGGCTGCAAAATATCCCGTATCTGCCGACGATCTCATTCGCCATCCAGACAATCTGCACGTCCACCAGCAACTCTGGGTCGCCAGAGTAGCGCAGAGCCGTCTGGTCACAGAGGATCTGAGCCCTCTCCCGAAGTTCGGACAATGTTTTGCCCCACAGGGGTTCGTAAATTATCTCCCTGTATTGCAGATAGACCCCCGAGCTCGCTGCCTTCAAATCCGAGGAAAGGTCTGTCCTCGTTCTCTTGCCAGCGACGATAACAGTCGTAGAGTCGGAGAGGAGGATGAGCACCCGCTTTCGGCCTCGATTTTCATCGGGCTTTGGCTGCGACATGCCAGACTGCGTCAGTGCTGCCACTCGGTTGAGCCCTGGATATCGATCCGTTTCAAAGCAGTTGTGAGCAGCCACTTGCACCGGCATGTACTGAAAAAGTGCTCGCAACTCTCCTTCGTCAATCGACTCTTGGAAGCCTATCGACTCGTGACTGATGACGGCCGCCCAGAGCTGGCGGCCCCAAAACTCGGCCAACTGCTCTTCGTAGGTCGCCATCGCTCTTCTACTCTCAGCTGCTACCACGGGACTAGGACCCGGCCTCAGCGTTAGCTGGGCTTTAGTTGTACAGTAAAGCGATGACAAAGCTGCGCATGCCAGTCCTTCATGTACCTTAGGTCCATCATTATCCTTAGTGGTATGCACTTGCCAATC